GGAAACAACTATGTGTGTGTTTGTTGGAGGATTTATATCGTGAGCCTAAACATTTGTGTGGTTTGGAGTGGCAATAATCATTATTAGCAAAGTACAGTATAGATGTCAACATACTAGGATGAAATGAATTGTAATTGTGATAGCACACTACTTATTACATTTACCACAGCTTTCTTACAGCTGCTAGTTTGGATCTAGACTTTTTGATTGGTCAATTAATTAGGGGGGTCAATATGGCGCTATATAACCTCAATCTATTTCAAACCATAATCTGGTACCTATGAAAAGAGGAGAATTATAAACAGTATTGAATAAACAAGGGAGGATGGAGGGATGAGAGAAGAAACAGATTTGAAAAGGGATTAAGTAAAGGAAAGGGAGGATCGGCATCTTATCGATACAGGACTTTTTCATTTTTGTCAATGATACCCACTGGCCTCCATACATTAGACGTTGGGGTCACGAGGAGAAAAAAAAACAACCTTTTTTTAAATGTATTTTAACAGACTGCATAATGAAATCCTCTCCAGGGGATTCTTAAAAGGCCACTTTTAACTGTAAATAAAATGTTGATAGTTAATGGTGCATTTAAGGTTTTATTTGTATTATAAGTGACTATATTTTAATATGAATTCTACATAATGATATTTAGATAGAAAAACAGAAGATGTTTTCTAAGTTGTGCCTCTTCTTCTTCGCTCACAGAAAGATGGTAGATGGAAATATCTTGTAAAAATGACCAGTTTTATTCATTTTAATTGAAGACATCTTTTCATAATTTTTTACTTACAAAAACAACCCAGTTGATTAGTTACCCTTAGCAAAATCTCATGCACTCTCGTACAACAGCAACAAATCCTCACTTCATAGATCTCATAATACTGTATCAGATTTTGTCAAAACCGTTTTAGAAGTGTATTGTTTTTTTCCAGCACTCTCTCATGTTTTCCCCTGGCAATAGGTTATGAACAACTTCAGTACCAGCTAGAGGGCTCTTTTAAAGCTTTGATATGCCCACATCTTCTTTAACGAAAGCGGGGAAGACAGAGAAGAATCAAGCTTTTGTTTGAGATCTGACAAAAGAACTTGAAGGAGACTCATGACCCTGAAATGCTTCTTTTCCCAGGAGTGCATGTGGGCCACTTAATGCCTAAGGAAACAGGAAAGAGACTTTAAAAAAAAAAGAGCAATCAGTACTTTGGCATCTCCTCAGCATACCATTGAGCCTTTTTATATCTGTAAAAACGTACACAGGAATGAGTCAAACAATGATTTCAAACAGTCGAAGCTAAAGCTTTTCTGAATGTGTCTCTGTGAGTGTTTTGTAAGCCTCTTCGACCGGTCCTCCAGCAGCTGCCGGTGGTCCGGTGTCCTGTCCTGTGCATATCTGGGAATAAAATCTACTTTTAAATTGGTTTGGTTGAAAAACACCACAGGATTGTAGGTTTTTAGAAATAAACACGTATGTGGAATATAGATATGTTAAAAGAAAAGCTTCTGTATTGGTGTAAAAGGTAAACACAGAGCCTTTGGTATCAAATATAAATGAAAAAGTGGCAGATTACCACACAACATTGACTTGTTTTACAGGGTTTTGCAATGACACTGCACATCTGAACCTCAACGGTGAGTAAACAACACTTTATGATGGTATTTCATTTCCTGAGAATTCAACAGTTCTCTGCACAAAGACAGTTGACGACTCTCTTTATTAAATATATTTTGTTAGCCCCTCGCTTCCACAGAGAGCTGTTGTCATAGCGATGCTATCGTCCCTGTATTGTTTTATTGCCGTCATGTTGCAGGAGGATGCCAGTTTCAACCCTACGAGGTCTCTTTCTCATCAGTGCTTGGTGACAAACTTCTGAGCTCACGCTGAGGTCTGCAGAGCTGCAGTGTTGTTTCTAATTGCTGCTCCAATATGTTGATGCACGATTTTACCTCTTTTGACTTCTCAATGCATGGGCATGTGTGCATGAGTGTATTTGTATATGTATGTGCATGTATGCAACATAACTGTGTGCACTTGTATGTACCTGTATAAAAAGCATGTGCGTGTAACAGAGTGGAAACTGAATTTCCCCTCGGGATCAATAAAGGTATATCTTCTTCTTCTTCTTCTTTAAATTCTGAGAAGTTTGAAACTTGCTCTTATGTGAGATATCCTCAAGTATCTTGTGTAATTTCCTGAGCTTGCTTTCCTATCACTCCTAGCACAAATCCCTAATTGCCCATACACGAAAACCTATATAGCATACTAAAGGAAATGGATAACTCAAAAAAGCACAATAGGTTGTGCACGTCCTTAGAAATGTAGGTTACACACTTATGATTATGCAAATGCAGGTCCTCAAAAAATGTATGTTCAGGCATGGTCCTGCTATCCCCCTACAGAAAATATAGTTTGCAGGGAAGTATTCTACTGTGCATGTTCCCTCCACCAGCAGCAATTACTGTGGTGCTTACTTTTTATAAACTTTGTTATCTACATCCACTCTGTAAACTCCAATCTGTATGTCTGGGATAAGTTAAATACAATTCACTGTGCCAGACAGATTGATATTTCAACATTTCAAATGCATTTTTCTTTTGCCTTACAGAATTCCAATTAAATCTCTGTTAAACAGACTGTTCCCAGAGGCTGTGTGCTCACAGTGATTTGACTTCAGTCTAATGAAGAAGCAGCGTGTTTGACAGTCAAATCAGCTGCAGGTAGACTGGGCTCAGACCTTGAACTCTGACGGTTGTTAAGGAAACCACCACCCTTTTCTCTAAAGTAAAACACATTAATGATGCAGAGTTATGGCTAATCACAGGAAATGTTCTTCTCTAACACATGGGCTATCAACTGGAAGCAGCTGTTTATAGCGATTTAATTTTGTTGGAGTGTTCAAAGGCTGTGTTCTTTCCAAAGCTGCCTGTTTGCATATCCAACCTATGTCTCTTTGCTGCATGTTGCACCCATCTGTCCTGTCTAATAAAAAAAGGCAAAATGGCCCCAAAAAACTTGTTTAGAGTTAGCATTAGAAGGGTTTCACATCAGGAACTGTACAGTACATGCCTTGATCTACATGAAAAGGCAGTCTCAAGTAGGGTTCATTTGCATTTGTCAATCGAAAAACACAATTTCTACAAAATCTTGTAGATGTTATGTTTTCTTGTTGGATGGGGTATTGGTAAAAATAGTGGTTACCAACCTTGATGATCCCCAAAAAAATATCTACTGTGACCCTTCCTAGGTTTCAAAAATGTAAAATAGTCAAATGAACGGGTAACCTTAGATTATGTCCATCCATCAGAGGGCACACACCCAAATCACAACCATGTTAATTTTGGAATACATTTTCAGTGTCTATTCTTTGTACATTTACTGCAGTAATGAATTGAAACCAGTTTTCTGATCCACATCCGATACAGCTTAAAAGGGTTGTTGCTTTCCTCCTTGTGTACAATGTCAGCACAGGAAAAGGTTTGCAGGCGAGGTAGCAATCATGACAGGAAAATACAACCGTGTATAATATTTGGCATATGCTTGTGAATATCACCCAAATAATTCACACTTTAACACGCCCTCTCCACAGTCGACCGGTCTGTGCCAAGTCGTGCGCGTCCTTGGAAAACCCCTGCCGGCACATGATCAGTATTCTTCATCATCATTCAGACAGACAGGCTGCTGTCACGAAGCTGGAGAGAAAGAGAGAGAGAGGAGGGACTGAATGAGAGGAGAGCGAGGAAGAGGGGGAGGAGCCAGGCTGTCAAGGTGAAACGATAAACCCCCTTTTTATTAGCCTTCATGTCCTGCTCCCGGTCGAGAGGAGACAGAGACCCGGGGAGCTCGCATCCTTTACGGGTGATAATCTGACAATAGCCGGTGGATTGTACACGAAACGGTCAGGGAACGGATGCAGGAAAGTGGTTTAATTATAAAAAATATATATTTAAAGATCGATTTTGTAGTTATTTTTATTTTTATTTTTGGACATACAACTTACATGGCATGGAGCGAGCTACTTAAGTGCGCCATCTCGTTAGAAATAAGGTGAGTTTTTTATATATAAATAACATATGATTCAAACAGGGACCTGTGGTGTCCTGTGCAGTGTGTGTGTGTGTGTGTGTGTGTGTGTGTGTGTGTGTGTGTGTGTGTGTGTGTGTGTGTGTGTGTGTGTGTGTGTGTGCTTGTGCGTGCGTGCGTGTACGCTGATACTTTAAATCGACGTAATTGTTGTTTAATGTATTGTATGACCTGCTCTGTCGCCTGTATCTTCATTGAGCTCCATGCAGAGAGGATGTCCTTCTCCTCACATATGCACTAATGGGTTTATTGTAAGGCTGATTTTCAACAATCGGTTACCACTCTGTTGACAAGCCCTCCTGCTGTTTTTCAGATGGAGCGATATTTTTTAANTATTTATTTATTTTATTTTTTTATTAAACACCATAAGGCGCAACAGTGGGGGCTTTTCACACCTGTGAATACACATCAAGATCCGTTGATAGGAGGGGGGTGATGTGTATTCACAGGTGTGAAAAGCCCCCACTGTTGCGCCTTATGGTGTTTAATAAAAAAATAAAATAAATAAATAAAAAAATAAATGCTGTTTCAATCACATTAGTATGCATAAAAACTGAAAGGTGGGCCCGCCCCCAAGTGTGTGTGTGTGTGTGTGTGTGTGTGTGTGTGTGTGTGTGTGTGTGTGTGTGTGTGTGTGTGTGTGTGTGTGTGTGTGTGTGTGTGTGTGTAGAGGTGTGTGGTTAAAACGAAGCAGCCTGCAGTCGCTCTTCAGCTGTCTAATGAAGGTAAACACAGCGAAGGCTTTAAAAGGCACAGCTCCGCTTCCCACTTGGCGAACCTGTAACTTTCTCGTGTGCACGACAAAGTATATTGTGATGAGCAAAACCATGTCACCTGGCCCAGGTGGTTTCCACAGAACGGACAAAACATGTGTAACGACCATAAACACACTCGTACCGTCCATAGGTACCGGCGGTCTATCAGCCAAAACCAACTTAAGTTTGTGTCAATCACTTGCACGTCACTTCTGGTATGATGGGCATTCCCTTTCCAGTTTGATTCTCTAGTTTGTTAAAGTGTTTCGGGACTTGTAAATTTGTCTCAGTTTTGGTAAAAGTGTTTCGCAAATGTCATTTTGTTTTATAAAATGTAAATTTGTCTCAAGCTTTGTTAAAGTGTTTCACACTTTGTAATTGTCGATTGCACTTCTCAGCCACGAGCCATGAGGAGCTGTGAGCTTGAGTGCTAACAGCTGATGTTGGTTTTGTGGTTCTCATTGAAGATGACGTCACGGCTCGGCCTACACTGCGTTACTATAGTTACTACCCCAGTTCCTAAACTGTAATGGAAACGCAGCATAAAGTAAGCCTGGCCTCCCAAGGCCTAACTATACCGTACTAAGCCGTGCGAGGCCCTGCAGTGGAAATGCGCCATAACATACACGCACAAACACACACACAGATTAAATCAGTTCAATCTTGCTGTCGATGGATGATGCATGGCGCTACTAGAGACACATCACTCACGCTGTCATGACATGTGTTTGAGCCAAACAGGCTCACAGAGAGCTCTCCTTTAAACTTTTTTAACTCCAGATGAAGAGAGGACTCTGAACTTGGGTTTTTTCCATCTCAGTTTTTCCGGGGAACCAAAATGGAATGGCAAACCAAATGTCAAGTTAAATAAAGACTGATGTTCATGCAGCAAAGTCACAAACACTATAGTTAAACCCTGCCCCAACCCCCCAACACGTCCTTTTTTAAAGCACTACAGTATATTTGGGCTATTATTGTGATGTGCTCACTCTACACTTCTTTTGCTGCACCGCTTGGTCCTACTCCAGTATACTGCACTGGCTAGTTTGAAGTATACACCATCACCTGAAAAAATGCCAAAGATAGGCTGAGGGCGTGGAGTGTAGGGCAAATCAATATTTTAGTTTTTTAGAAAGATAGAGAATATAATATACTTTATCTTTCAATAACATCATCTATAGAAAAATATGATGTTGGCAAGAGGTATTAAGCTGAAGAATAATGCTTGGGTCATTTGTGTGATGGTAATCTACATATGCTTTCTTACTTATCAGTTTTATATTATCTTTTTTTTGTAGCCTGTTGTTTATATGCATGTATGTACATATATATTTAAAAACATAAAATGCAACAGAATTTTACATTGAATACATAATATATAACATTTATAAAGACACACATAGGTCCTTTTATGACTAGAAATATAAATGTTAAATACAAGATATATACAGTATATATTTATACATGTATTTGTACTTTCTTTTTTATAATTAATAAAAATAAAATAAACAATTTATATATATTTATTTATAAATAATTATTAAAAATAATGTATTTGTAAGGGTAGGGGTTGGGGGATTACAACCTTTGCCATGAATGTTTATCCATGTATGTTGATGCAAGTTTCATATGAATACTGATGAATTAGGGAGTCTAACAAACTGCCTCTGTGCAACAGTGTCTTTCACCTTCATACAGCAGGAGCGTATTCGGAGCTGTGTGCTGGTGTTCTCAGCCTTCTGTGGTCTGTGGCTCCCCCCGATGTCCCGGTGCAGGTCGGTGGAGCTGTCATTGTTAGACATGGTCTGTGGGTTACCAGAGCTGGAAGCTGCTCTCCAATGCAGGGAAGGACAGTGAAGCAGACGGGCTGACAGGTGTCAGCTCTACGGGACCCAGCCTGAGCCAGACCTCTCACTCGCCACGGCGATTCAAGAACAGGTGGCTCCCGCTGATACAGCACACACAGCACACACAGCAACATCGAAACACACACACGAGTAAAACACGATCCCTTAGAGCAGCGTTTCTCAAAGTGTGGGGCGCGCCCCACTGGTGGGGCGCAGAGATGTGATAGGTGGGTCGCGAAATACAAAATAAAAATAAAAAATGTAATCAATTTATTTTTGGTAAAAAACATATGACAAATATTACTAAAAACATATTTAAAAAAAAAATATAAAGAAAAATGTAATTTGTTTTAATGTTTTTAAATATTATTTTGTAGAATATCTTAGGCCCTCAGAGACAGGCTCGCCACTGGTAAAAATCTCTCATACACACATGTGAAACGCTCTCACAGACACACACAACAGCGTTGCAGTCGGGAAGAAAAGCAATGTGGAGAGAGAGAGAGAGAGAGAGAGAGCGAGAGAGCAAGAGAGCAAGAGAGAGAGCAAACCTTTATCTATTTAATAAAGTTGTAAAAAATAAAGTAAGAAATCATTCCAATGTGTACTATAGGACAGTAACAAGTTTAAAAGGGGAGGGATTAGTAAAATATGCATAAATAAAAAGAAAGAATGCTAAGTAGGTAACATAAGATAAGAATAAACAAGTTTAAATGATTTGTTGTGATCATATTCTAAAGATGTTTGGATTATTGAAAAGTATACAGCTCCCTTTGGTCTGAGTGTTGAGAGCTGTATCCATAAATTCATGTTAGGCTCAAAGTAGGGCTGCTCGATTATGGCAAAAATCATAATCTCGATTATTTGGGTCAATAATTGATATCAGGATTATTAAAAACGATTAACCATTTACTTTGAAAACATCAATTTATTGAAGAAAATAATTTGAAAAGTATGTTTTTAACAGTTGATTACCCTGAACTTTAAGTATAATTCAACTGAAAAACCTATTCAAAAAAAATTAAATCGTTTTATTTCGATTATGTTGTTTTCATAACCGTTGCAAGCCAAAATCGTAATTGCGATTAAAATACGATTAATTGAGCAGCCCTAGCTCAAAGTGCACCAGATTGATGCATTTAACTTCAACATTTAAAAAAAATCTTCCTGGGGGTGATGCTGAAGTCCACAACCAAATAAAGCAAGTTAAAATAATTAAATTGCATACATTTTATTTTAGTAAACACTGAAAACGGGTCCCACAGACCCAAACAGCACACAAATGTTAAAGGTAGCATATAATAATGTTAAAATGTGCTAAATATATACACTGCAAAAAAACAAAAAAAGAGGAGTAAAAGTAGCTCACGACTTGTATTATTTTTTGAAAGTAGCTCTCATCCTAAAAAAGGTTGGAGACCCCTGTTATAGAACGATACATTTGACAATTTTAAGCTTGGCCTACCATTTTATTGGAGCGATGAGGAACAGGTGGGGCTTGAAAAGGCCCACCTGTTCAAAGTGGGGAATGACAGAAAAAGTTTGAGAACCACTGCCTTAAGCACAGCCTGCAGCCATCAGGATCTCTCACACACACTCCCCCTCTAACAGCAAAACCCCAGAGCCTAAATGCCCAACCCAATCAACCAAACAGGACACAGGTGAGGGGGGAGGAGACAACACAGGGCACCAGGGAACACTTTTCAACAACAAAAAAACTAAACAACCCGTAACGGAGGCCGAGATCTATGAGCCCAGAGATCACCTCCATGACAAGGAGTATCATCCAATTACATGTCATGCTTAATTGGCAGTCCTACTGTGAGACAAAATGCCTTATTTTAGAGTAAAGACACAAGCATAAACAAATTCTCTTATGACGTTGTGTTGAAGCCATTTGAAAATATATTCCAAGTGTGTGTTTCTTGTTGGATGCACTTGACCGGCCAATGACAAGAAAGCTGCACTGTTGTTATTGTAGTTTATTTCGTCAGTACAGTAACACACAGACAGACTACAAACTGGAGCATCTTGCACACTGTTTAGAGCTTGCCATCGCTTTTTTGTTTACTTATATTTATAGAAATGGAACGTCACTTACGTGGTTTTGGACCTAAATTAGTGTTCTTTACTGTGAGAACAGATTTACCTGCTGTACTTCCTGCAACACTCGACCCATATTAATGACACTAAACAAACCTTTTGAGTTTTTTTCTGTAACAGTAGAATTCTGTAACCTTCACTGCTCTGAAAGTCTTGAGCAATTTCTAACTACTGTCCTGTAATTTGTAACGCTGATATCACTCTGCATTGCTTGTTAGTTCTCAACCCCGTAACTGAGGACACTGGAAAGGAAGGAGTGAGGCAACCATTGCTGAGCGTGTTGTTACTAGTACTGAGGTGGAGTGAAGGAACACCGGAGCCTCGTAATGAGCCCAGGTGAGATTTGAAGTGGTGTGTGTGTTAATGAAATGATGCATTTTGCTGATTCACACGCTAGGAAGAAACAGAAACAGTTTAAGAAGGTGTTTTCTCTCATTGATAACACACTTTACCTCTCAAGCCATTTCCACTGGAGGAACCTGTTGTAGTACATGCTGTCGAGGTAGTCAGCGAAGGGAGCCACGCTCAGGTAGTCGTGGATCAATCTGGGGGAAAAAACACACGGAAAAAGGGTCAGCTTTGGAGAAAAGAACATTTGAAAATGTGAGAAGAGAAAGCATTTGGCAAATTATTGAAATAAAATCATTGTGTGTAACTGGCAGGATTTTTGCAACAGTGTGCACAACCCTGAAAAAACTGTTTCAAATTGGACACATATTTAGTTAAAATGGCATATGGGTTGTATATTAAATGTGAGGTACTATTGGTTTCAATTCAATGTAGAAATTAAATCACACTATAATATAATGAAACCTTAAGAACATCACCAGACTTCTCCCTTACCTTTTTAGCAGACATACCGTATATAGACAAAGGTTAGATTTGTAGAGTTGATACTGAGTCTTGTACTTGACAAACTGGCATCTGTGCAGCCTTTCACTTCACAACAAGCATGAACAGAGCCGATAGAGGAGGTTACTCAATGTGTTGTGTATGGAATGAACAATAAACTAATGTATTAAAACTTTTCCATTTCTGTTTATACAGTATGTCTCTATTGAATGTTTGCTTACTTCATGCAACTTCTTATTTCCATTAGTCATTTAAAATGTCATTTTAAGATTCTCTGCATCACATCTTAACTTTTTCCAACTATCATTAATGCTCAGTACTTTTAACCTTTACGAACTGAACTTCCTCATTTTAGAAATACTAGAGAACAACATCCAAAGCAAGAACAGATTACACAGGCCTGAAGATGCTCTGTCTGACCATTGTTTCTTGTATTTGTGACTTTTTTTAAACGTATTTGAGGCAAAACCCAGGCTATCACACTCTTTCACGCTTATAGCGTTTGTTTGATATGTTTCTAAAAATGCACGCTGGGATACTTGTCCACAAAAGGCCAACAGATGTGACGCTCATGAATTGGACTCATAACACACCCGAGTCAGACATTTGATAATCTACCTCCTCATCAAACAACAAAAAGAGCTTTGACTTTTAACACCACACCAACTCATGACTTACTGTAGACCTTGTGACCTTTTTTATACTCTGCCAAAAACCTGAAGCAGAGACAGAGCTGACATTCAGGTCAGGGTTCAGACGGTTAGCAGCACTTGTTTTGATGTGCTTTGAATACATGTAGCTAGATCACAGGATTAATTAAATTGAGGAGAACAAAAACCTCTCACAGAGAGAGAAAGGAGAATACATGCTTTATTTAATGGGAAATTACCTGGATATAACTTGGTATTATTTCACGATTCAGTTCAATTCAATTCGGTAAGACTTTGCCTACAACTGCCTGTATCTCATTGCATGCATTTCCCCAAATCTACCAGTGTTTGTCAGGGTAGTCTAATACACATAACTTATTTCGTTGTATCTGTTTTTACAGCCAACTTTTTGTTTGTGTTAACATTTTAATGTGGTCACTTTCACACTTGCAGTCCAAGTAATTTGGTCTAGACCGAGAAAGGTTTACACTGAGTTGCTATTGTGTGTCACAAGTCGTATAATAAATCATTTATTTGACAGTTTCTGAGATGTAATTCTGCATCATCAGTGCTACAAAGATCCCTCATGTGGAACCATTAAAGGCAACATAAAGTGATGTAATTGCACATTGTATCTATTCATTTAATGGCTCAATAAATGTTTCTTTACACTGAATGGTGGTGAATATTAAACCCCTTGTATGTCAAAAAAATGCATGAGTGTATTTTGTGTGTTATCAAGTCGTTAAAACAGTAACATTTTCAGAAGTGAGACCAAGGACCTGACAGTTCTGACCTAACATTGCGTCAGATTTCCTGTCTAAAAGGAGCTAAACTAAATATTGGAGCAATATAAAGAAATGCAGATGAGTCCCCCCCTGTGATCTTACTTGGTACAGTCCTTGAAGAGCTCTTTGCAGGCCTCCTGTTGCAGCCTCTCGTTGCACTGAGCCATCATGGCGTCTTCCACCTCAGGCACGTGGTCCTCCGACTGCACCGCAAAGAACACATTAAGTCCCGGTAAACACCGTGACTCAACCCCTGACAGCACACTCACAGAGGAAAGCTGGATAAACTGGGTTTAGGATGGTGCGGAATAGATTATTATCCTCGTCACTCTGCAGGCCCAGACTTGTATGCACGCAGATAAAAACAGAAGCAGGTGAAAAACGGAAGCAGAGATAGACTAACTTTATTCGCGATACAGAGGGCTTCATGGGAACTTTGAGGGGAGCCAGAAGTTGGAGAACCAAACACTGACTCCAGGTACTCATCTGAGTACCTCACTGAGAAAGTTGTGTGCACCCCTGCTTATGTTGTCTCAGTTTGTTTTGTTTGTCCACCGTGTCCACCGTGTCATGTTCGCCGTCGGAGCGAATTTGCGTCTGTCCGCGTCTCTGCATTGACTTTACATGTAATTGCGCCGCCCCTAAACATCGCATCGCGTCCGGTGTGAACGCAGCATAAGGCTGTAGAATACTTTCTAGTTTAAATATCAAGGAAATATAACTGTTATATCAAAGTTTGCAGAATTTCAGATTTTTATATAGAAGCCAGGGCTGCCCAGAAAGTTAGAAATCAATCTAAATTTGTCCTGACTATTTATCATGTCACACCAATAATTTAAAGTATACACAGTTTGTATTGAATGGCTATCCCCAGATAAACATATACATTGACAGAGGTCCTTTAAAGCAGCATCTACCTTTGGGTTGAAGTATTTGTCGACTAGTTCCAGGCCGGACTCCTTCCTCTTCTCATCTGGAGTCACCTCGTACTCCGCCTGAAGGGAAAAACAGCGAGGCCAAATGAGTGGAGAAGCTAGAGGTGATCGTCAGCTCCTTCCTAATCCCCCCACAGTTACCCAGATCTGCAGTTTTACACCACCTGTGGATGTCGTCCAAATGTATAAACAACATGTACCCATGGTGATATTGGTTAAAAACAATAGGAATCTGAATTCTGATTGAAATCGATTTACAAAAAGGTATAGGGATACTTGAATTATTGAAGTTGCAGTTAACATACATGTCTGTCCAACATTGAATCAATCTATCATTTTATATTGTTACACATTTCTGAAAGATTGTCACAATTAGCGTATGATTTCTTCGGATAAGGCTTAACATGTTTTCGTGATGTCACAAACCTTTGACGTTTGTCCACCAAAATCGTATCAGTTTAAGTGGATTTTCTTTAACCAAATGTAAAACTATTCCCTTTTAAGTTGTTCAGTTGACAAAAATTGGACAGACGAGAGGTCAGAGTGACCTTGACCTTTGACCCTCAAAATCTATTCAGTTCATCTTCGATTCTGATTGGATGTGTGTGCCAAATTAAAGAACCCCAAAAAACATAATGCCTCGAGCATCAGGTGTTGTCGCACAGAGGCATACAAAAAGTCAATTACATGCTTTGTTAGTATTTATTTATTTTTAATTCGATTAGACTATTGGACATTTTCTACAATAATGGTGCTATCAGATCATACCATCATTATAATGTCCTGACAGTCAATGAAGGATACAATTGAATGATTGCTCAGCTGTGCTTCCAGCTCCCTGTGTCTCCAATGAAGGCCTTTCCTTCAGAAAACCCCATTTAAGGTTTAATTGAAGTATAGCGAGGCCTGTTCCACACCCTGCAGCACATGGCCTGATTGTATCTACTCCCCCTCACATCCCCCATCCCTCTGAATGACTTGTTGCAGTAAAGTGATCCTGACTGGAAAACTCCAAAGTGCTTCCTCTGCCCTCTCACAGCGAGAGCCTGTAAACTAATGCTAAGTGACAGTGGAGACGGTTCAAATCTCATTTTCCCTCTCCATCTCGTCCTCGTTCTCAGGGAAGAGACGGGAAGCGGTCGAGGGGTAAAAGAGAACATAATTGCTCCGTATGTGAGTCGTATCCGCTGGATGTCTGAAAGCTGTAAAGCTAAATCAGCTGGTCAGTCAGACTGGAGCCGTGCTGCCATTTTCATTGACAGACTGAGGGATAGATGAGGTCTTCATCAACCTCCACCAATTACTGTATTGACTGATGAACCAACGGGATATAATTTCACACATCAGAGACACAAAGACAACCTCCAGTGAACGCTGACCTGGATTTTGTCTGATCTGAACTACTTGAATGATAATATGAGTTTTAATAATAAATAATAATGTTTCATTTGAAGCTCAAAATGAATTCAAAGCTTTGACTTTGCTAGCAGAGATTATCAATCTTTGGTGTTTTCTGTCATAATATAAGACGATATTATGTTTCAGGATTTAAAGGTCACATTCTATGCAAAATCCACTTTTTTATGTCTTTTATAACATGTGTCCCCTCTGTGTTAAGACATTCTGAAAGTTTCAGGAAAAAGATTAGCTCACTTTTTGTCCTGATCCATTTCTATAAAAACCTGTCTGAAAATGAGCTGATCTGATTTAGGCCACTTAATGATGTCATAACGATTTTTTTGGCTTGTGTAACCATTAGCCAATCACCAACCAATGTAACCCCCGCCCCCCCCACCTTATCACCTGAATCTCCTCCTAGAGCACCATTGTGTTATTTTTAACCAAATATCTCACAGAGGGGAGTGGCTCCTTATTTTCATCTGAAGTAAAAGACAGAGAATCATAACTTTTGAAACAGGACTGAAACAGAGGGGATTATGGGATGCTGCAATTATCTGTTCTGTATTTTGAGCCAAACACTTCAGAGACATGTTTTGTATATATCTGAGACCTATAATATATTAATGAAAAACAGTAGAATAGTGGACCTTTAATGTATGACCAAGAAGGAATGCATGTGTTCAGAGAAAGCTGAACCAATGTTATGTATTCTCCTACAGAGAGTATTGCGTTACGGGTTGTTTGTAGCATTAATGCTGCTAGGCTAGCACGTTTTCTTCAGCGCTTTAACATGTTTCTTTAATAAAGGTATTTGAAAAAAGCCCAGGGCCGCAGTCTCTGCATGTTATGGCTTGGCTCAACACAGTCCCCATGCTTTTTTTTCTTCTTCTTTTTATTAGCAATACTTATAAATAATAGTACCTGGCACTTGGAATTTTTCACCTCAGGCTGAGATCCCAAGCGAGCTAAGCCGATACTAGAAAGGTGGAGTTGAAACACTATGTGCCACTTATCAGTCCGAAATAATCCCCACAATCACACGGACAACCTGCAAAACCTGCTATTTTCGAATCCATCATTAATAGAAATAGCTTTTTTCTTTAAATGTAAACGATTTAAAATGTCCCTACTGCAGAAACAGTTGTTTAATTAGTGGCTTCAGGAAGGACTTACTACCTTCTGCTTGGATTAACAGAAACCTCCCAAAAACCTTTCCAGAAGGACATGAAGTGCTTTCTATCCTCAAAATGCGTGTTTTTACAAAAAACATCTGGTAGAAAACAGGGGGTTTCAGATACATTTTGGATGGACCCCAGAGCCTAATGGTATTTACAGTCCCATGAAATGTTGCGTAAGACCACCTGCAGGTCAAGGTCTTATTCAGTAAAGTATCTCTACATCTGCTGGATGGTGCAAAACTTGGTACGGATATTTATGGTTCCCAGAAAATGTATCCTAAGAGTTTTGCTCATCCTCTGACCTTTCCCCAAAGCTAACACGAGGTTCACATTTCGTGGTGAATTTCAATAAATTCATTGATTGTCTGCTCTTTCCCTCTAGCTCCATCATCAGGGCATTTAGTGTGTCCAATACTTTAGTTTGGCTTGTATTGGGTCGTAAACTAACTTCATTCCAATGTGCGTTACTTGCACTTTGTGTTTAATGCCCATAAGTTAATGTTAGTATGCTCACATGCTAAACTAAGATGATAAACATTATAGCTGCCCAATATCAACATGTTAGCATTGTGATTGTGAGCATGCATGTGGCTGTGTAGACGCTGTCTTGTTTACAAATAATTGACAACATGACAGTTAACATCTGCATTAAGTATATTTAAATTTGCATCCTGTTTTGTAAATGGCAACATTATGTCCTACTTGATGTATTACAGCAGCATCTGCACCTAATGCATCTCATGAGTAAAACATGACACAGCAGCTTTGCAGAAGCACTTAAAAAGGATGCACAGGACTTATGAGTACGAGAATATTATACCAGAGTAACAAACACACACACACACACACACACACACACACACACACACACACACACACACACACACACACACACACACACACACACACACACACACACAAACACAAACACACGCGCACACACGCACGCACACACACACACACACACACACACACACACACACGCACACACGCACACACGCGCACACACACACAAATAAACACACACACACAGGAATAAAACAAGAGTGTGACTGAAACATTCCCCAAGTGAGCAGAGCGACAGAGGAGGTCAAGTGTGTGTGTGTGTGTGTGTGTGTGTGTGTGTGTGTGTGTGTGTGTGTGTGTGTGTGTGTGTGTGTGTGTGTGTAAGAGAGGTTGACACAGTTTTCTCTCCAGAAGTCAAGAGTTCCTGTATTTCATTAAACAGATATTAAACTTCCTCCTCCTCACTCCAAACAAAGTGTGTTTAAGAATAATTAGACTTCCTACATGAGAACCAGCTCACCAGCTAACAGTGCTTTAAAGGGTCACTTCACCCAATTCCCAAACAAACAAACAAACATATTTCCATACTCACCTGCATGGAAAGGTATCTACCGGTACCCATGCAAACAGATAGCATTTTATGTGTGTGGATTCAGAACGTGCTTTCATAGGAAGATTTATGATCAACAGATCAGTCATGTTTAAAATAAACACTGATAAGAGACTTCATTTGTGAGTGAGAAATCTACAATAAAAAAATACGAATCCTTGTGAATATTTTTATATTCATTTCTTGCTGACCTTTTTCATTTAGGAAACTATTTTTAACCATAAGGAGGTTTGCTGCGTTATAATTATATTATTTGGATATTCATTAATAATATGTCTAGTATGTACTAGTATTCAAATCTTAACGACGCCAGTACTGCAGATGAACAATGAAAAGGGTTGACCTTAAGGATGTTTTTCTACCTTGTTTTGTGTGTTTTTTTAACTTTTTAATTCATGAAACTTGTCATGTGCCATTGTTTATCCGCCCCTTGCCCTCATCTTCATTTAACATATATATTTTTTTGATTTTGAGGTCGGAAGAATAGGAGAAAACATTCACATCCCCCCTCCATTCCTTAACAGGAATGGAGGAGCTTTTCAAGGAAGAAAGAAACACAAGTCCTTGAGACCCCCTTTCTCCCACACACACATGCACACACACACACAAGCTTCATCCCTTTTGTTTATCCACACTAGTAGTCATGGAAAAGGGCATTTGAGACAAAACTCTCCAACACAAACAGGAATAAGACAAACACACAGAGAATTCTTACCACAGCATCCAGGAACTTGACGCAGCGCTTCAGTTCAGGTCGGGTCTCGCAGAACAGCCGGAACAAAAAGCGTCCGATAGGCTGCCGCTCACAGAGGCTGCCGTAGTCCTTTTCTGCAGAGACACAGAGACAACTTTAATATAAAGACATTGTTTAATCAAAATGCGTCAAAATAAATCATGCATTCGTGCGCCGTTCCTTCAACTACCAGCATTTGTTGCAAGGTTTTATAGTGGAGGAATGAAATAAAGGAACATTTATATTATTCCTAAGAAAAGCTGCATATTTATGATCTATATTACTGTATAATGTCAGGCCTAAAATGAGCAGTGGCCCTACATCACACAGCAAAAAGCACATACTGTATTTAATGATTGATCCAATTATTTAGTTAAAATGTGCACTGGCACAATACATTCAGAATGTGTTCTATTGATGTGATTGTACAGGAAATGGGTTTATAAAGACATTTCATTTGAAAAGGAATTAAAAAGTGATGGCTGAAAAGTTTATATAATGAACAAACATAGAAAGCGCAAAAATAAACACACTTGCACAACAGTAAAACAAAGGAAAAGGCAGATCAGTTTCGGCTATTCAAAAGATAAATTGTAAATAAATTGTTAATTTAATGTTAAATTCTGTTACCAGGTAGAAGTGCTAGAAATGTATGACAAAAAGAGAGAGAAACCCACAACCTAATGTACAGAGTTTGAGTAATTCAGAGGTGATTGACGTAACAAAAACTAAATGTTTTAAGTAACAACGTGATCCACACAGGAAATCTGACTGAGTGAGAGGAGTGTAACAGATACAACCGTGACGCTGACACATTTAATAGTCAAATATGAAGACACACAGCTGCTGTTGTTAACCAGTAACATAAATCATTCTGTGATTTGCATAGATCTGCAGTCCCATTCACGGAGGATTTTTATTAAAAGAGCAGTGGAAAAAAGTAGATGGAAGTGCAACAGGTGAAAGTGATAAAGACAACCAAGAGGAAAGATTTGAATGAGAAGAAGTTGGAGTTAGGTAGGTAGGTATGTAGGTAGGTAGGTAGGTAGGTAGGTAGGTTTTTCTCATATTTCTTTTACATTTCACCATATTAAAATGTGTTGGTGAATGGATTTCATAACCACGCAACAAGCCTCAAGGAAATGTATCAATAGTTGCACAGCAGTAAGAAATACCAACTGCAGGGAAAGCAATATTCAGTTAATTCCTTCCTGTCTATGTGTATTTACTCTTCTGTGTAGCAAACTGGATATCTTGATGCCTTTGAGAACTTTTCAATCTTTTCTGAATGTTTGCAAAAAATATATTGATTAAAGGGGCCCTATACCGCCTTTTGGGGTTTTCCCTTTCCTGTAGTGTGTTATATAGATTGTTGTAAATGTAAATGGTCTGCAAAGGCTAAAATCCCTCACACTCCCCCCTGCCGGAAACACTATGTAACACTTGTGCTTCTATTGGCTTGCGCTCCAACACAGTGTACGTGATAGGCTAAGGGGTGGGACATCTCTAAGCGGTTGACCAATCAGAGCAGACTGGGCTGTAAAGAACTTTTTGAACATTAAAGCATGGAACCATTTCACAGTAGAGACACTACATACAAGTATGAATCTGAAAATTAGCATAATAGGGCCCCTTTAATCAATAATAAAATAGATATATTATTTAAAGTAGATTTATCAAGAAAATGATTAAGCTGTGTTCATGGTACGACGTGCTTCAAGTAATGCTAAAGGTAACCTGGTATATGAAAACTATTTTGAACGGGTTACAATTATGATTTAAAATGTTATGGCAATCCCTGGATTAGTTTGGTAATATGACTTGTTGTTTGCACATTTCACTGCGCAGCAGGCACTTAATAGATGATGCCATAATAGTTATTTCAATGATGATAAGTAGCAGACCTTACTTTACGGGGAAGTTTTTAGATAGATACAGTATCTGGGGCTGTTTGAGTTCATCTGCCCATCTGAGCCTCGGGACAAAAACAAAACCAAGGAAATGTTGATTTGCATCTGTGACTCATGTGGATGCAAAACAACGCAGGAAGGTTCATGAACAAACAAATGTGTTCAGGGATTTGTGATCCAACAAAGAGCAGGGAGGTCAGTGTATCGTTAAGAGAGGAGAGGACAGAAAAAAGGCTGAATCATCTGCAAGTCAAAGCCTTTTCATCTGCTTTAACTAACATCACAAACTTTCGCACAATGATTAAAGGCAAGTCCAAACTCGAAGAAGAGAAGAAAAACTCCACAACAATGGGATTATAAACTAACAAATGACTGTGTTGCTGCTTTTTGTCTCTACTGTATCTCTATATACAACTGCTGGCACCTGAGCTAAACATGCTAATCAAAGAGAATTCTGGTTTGGGCTTTGCGGCGAGGAGAGGCTGTTTGGTCTTTTTTATTTTAAACTTGAAAATATTTACGTGTACTCTGTGGAGTTGACTTCTAGACAAACATCGTTCTGTTTACATTTAGTGTCTTGCACTAAAACACATCCCATGTCTCAAGTCCTCTCTCAGTAAATATTTGCAACATATACATTTGCAACGCCACTTTTTGAATATATTTAAACCTGCATTGTTTACATTCACGTGTTTTGCCTCCATTATTTGTACTGCTTCATTCTTCTTTGTGTTTTTATGATTGTTTGCCCTTCATATTTTGCATTGCACCTCCTGCAAATTGAATGTGTGTAAATCATAATGCATTAAAATCCTCATCAGGACAATACAAGCACTTCTCTATAAAGCTAAAAGTCAAAAGGTTATTTTCTGTTTTTGCTGGAGCTTGTTCCTCTGAAGTTTAAAATGCACTTGTTCTTATTTTTTTATTGACTTGATATTTGATGAGCTTTTCGTTTCTTTCGAAAAAAAATTGCAGACCTTATAAAGTGACCTGGCTTACTACTAACATCGGGTGTAAAAGAGACGTTAATGAATTTTTAGTAGTTATCAAAATATGTCAACAGTTGGTTTAGAAATCATGAATAAAGTTTGTTCAATGCCATCATTGTTACATCTTAAAAAAACAGTAGCAAGAACTTGATTTATGGATCAAATTCTTTAAAATAAATCGAATAAATAGCTACAATTACTGGTTATAAATTGGAATCGACAACTTTACATGGATATTCTTACTGATTGAAAAAAAGATTAGATGTCAAAGACTTTGCTAGTTGGGGGACGTTTAAGAGATTGTTAAATATGGTTAAGATAAAACAAAAGCGGAGATATACTGACTTTCAGTCGAGGTCAAACACACTTAACAGCATCATATGGTCACACCCTCCGTGGATGGTACAGTAAATCCCAACTTGGGTGGAGTAACTCTTTTAACTGTTTGACATTGTATGTGTTCTTACCAGTTAGCTGACTCACTTCCAATCACTGACTATGAGTTCTTTCTGCTCTACGTATTGCGCTTCGGTTTCATTGCTATGTCCTCCTAGTTGTCCTCTGTTCGACTCTGATTACCTCTTGTCTCTGCCATATTACACTTTCTAGTCATGCTGCAAAGTGAACAGAGCAGGACAGTGTGAAGTAAATGGGAGCCGAAGACAAAAAGACCAATAAAGATAATTGCTGGAAACATTTTTAGAGACCGGATGTCACATGAGAGTAGAGTGGGATATCTAAAAGGCAATCTGGTAATTCCATGGTTTTAATAATTAACATTTCTCATTGAAAGTAAACAATGCCTGTTTACATACATTACAACCGAACCCATTATATCCTATGGAAAACTGTACAAATTTGCTTCATGAAGCTGCTTGGCTACTCATGTGTGAAATGGGACATCCCGCAGTTCTGGGAATTTTTCATTATGTGGCCGTGGATCACTGGACTTTCTCTATAGATGACTGGAGGTGTGATGTACATGAAAGGAGTGCAGGACTGTACAGAACATGGTGTACATCAACACACAGAGAGCACACAAAGAGGCCTCTGTCGGGCCTCAAGGTCCCCGCACAGAATTTATGATGCCACGGGTTTCAGACCGGATCAAGGTCTTAGCACCTCGCCTCTTATCTCTTTATAGAATAAAGTAAGGCAGGAGTAAAAAAGCTGACATTATGCCGTGGATTCCCAATATTAGCCCCGTACCCTAAGGGTTGCTGTGTTGTTGTTCTTTGCGTGATCATTTATGGTCAGTCCATCACTTTAGTTTGGACTAAAATATCTCAACAACTATTAAATTGATTACCATGACATTCTGTATTGATTTTTATGGTGGTTTCCAGAAAATACGAACGGATATTACTACATGTAGCTTAAAGCACTGCAGTGCCTAAAGCAACACATGGTTATAAACTCAATACATGTGTCCTGAAGTTCCTGAAAAATCCATGCGGAAAAAACGTGGTCATATGGTCTGTGACGTTTGAATTTTCCAGCCAGATTTATTTTGATAGATTCCTTGAAGTCTTTTCAACTGCCTGCAAATCCCCAAAACTGAACAATTATTACTGGATTTGGCTGTTATCAGTTGCTTCAAAAATATAGACAAATGTAATATATATTTGCATCTTGACATGTAGCTATCATGTTTTATTCAAGGGGGTTCAAATATGGTGGGAACTTATTAAATCCTAGTGCTTCGTTGAATAGCAATGCAAGTTAACAATGGATAGCCAGATTGTTGACCATCAATCAGATGCACAATTAAAACGCTATAATACATTTTGGGGAACATTTTATTTTGAAACTTTACTTTATACCAGTGTGGAGCTGGTTTCCTGTACGTTCCAGTTTCCATTCATGTCTTTTGAAGTACTTTTTTCTGATAATACATCTGCTCTATTACTTGAGTAGCATTTCAATTCAGGATGTCTAATTGTAATTGTAAGAGTATTATCAGACAGTGGTATTTATACTGTAACTTAAGTAAGGGTTAGGGTTAGGGTTTGCATGTGTGTTAAATGTTCAGACCTGTATGTGATAGCTTAGTAAAGAACATTGTGTGAACAGAACTACAAGTCTTTAAAAGTTAGGCAAAGTGCAAGATAGTAATGTTGCATATTGCCTGCATTTTATGTGATAATATAAGACAAACAGGAGAACAAAAAGAGAGGCAGTAAGACAAAAACAAAAGAAGATAACAACCTGTCAGTCACAGAAGGGAGTTAAGAGTTTCCTGAATGTCTTTCTCGAGACTGCCTCCCAATCACCTATTTTTTCTGGTTTTATAAAATCTTTCATAAGTGTCTCTCTATACATATGTTTGTAATATCTTATCAGCTGTCTTATTGACATTTCTTTCTCTCACACTTCATTTTCTCTATTTATTTTTTTAACATTTTACAGTATTTTGTCTGCTCCTCTAACTGGGACATTAGCTTTTCACAGCTGGGGTTTTGTGCAGCTGAACGTCCTGTCTCTCTGTGTCACAGTCTGCGTGACGGCATGTTCGACTGAACTCATTTAAATCAAAGCTTTTATTTGCATGGCACCTTTCTGGAGAGAAGCTGCTCTGGAAGGGTTTCCTGAAGAAAGACACATCAAGTAAGCACAAACTGCTTCAGCTAAATTCAATACGGCATACAGGATATTTAGCATTAGCATTCACATCTGAAGTTCTGAGGCTATAAGGAAACTGACAAAGAATCAAAAGCACACAATGACCTAACACAGAATGGTCATGGAGTTTTTTTGTAATATGCTGTTGCACGACTGTATGTTATTTGAATATCTACTGAGAGTCTCTGGATGTTCTGCATTAGTTTATAATTGATTTTAACAGCTTCATCAAATACAGTTTTGTTCCTTTTACTTTCTATTCAGGCCGCATTTACTCTTTTTTTAGACTGTTTCATAAGCTGACAACGTAACTTTGTTTAAATGCTAATAAAATTACATGTCCTAAATAGATTACAAGGTTAAAAGGTTCATTCATTTGTCAAGTTGCAAAGTGAAGGGCAGTTGTTGCACCTTTATGAAAACTAAAACTAAAATACCCTTACTTTTATACATACAAAGACTTTGTTGAGGAATGAGGGTATTGCAAAAACAATAACTGATTCTAGAGACAAACAGCCTTTTCTCTCAGCCTGATGACGTCATACAAATGTTTGTAGTCTGGGAGTAAAAGTTCAGTACTTTTAACCTTAGCCTCGGGTTTTCAGGGTCAGGGGCCACATCCGCCATGCGAGACAATTTCGAAAAGCCCCTAACATGTTTAACGATAATTATGTTTTAAATCAATGATGCAAAAGTTGACGTTTCGTTGTAATTACTTGTGTATGCTGTGCAGTACTTGGGTAATCGAGGTAGTAACTTTCCACATCTGCTTTAGCCGGCAGGTATTAGAAATAAAATCAGGTTTAAAATGAAAATGTAATGTACTTTTCCTGTTGAATGTGACTTATTGGTGTTATAGCTCCATCACACACTAAAGATACAGTACATGAATAAAGTCTTGTGGTTCCTAGTCATGATCCTGGAGCAGCCTGTCTGTCGCCACTGCGCCTCAAGGCTTTATACGTTTTATCACAGGTCGCCATCAGCCTCGATGCTTCTTCTTTAATGGATCCTAACAATGTGGCCTGTGTTTGTTTACTCTGCAAGGCCTGGCTGCCATGTATGATGTATGCAGTCACACTGACTCGGCCCATGGATAGGAACTGCACTATAAACATGTTAATAGAGGTAATATTTCACATCACACTGACATCACATGTTGCTATAGTTAACCACACACAGGGCTGAAATGTGAGAAAAAATGTCCATCCGACCTATTTTAAGTATTTACATTGAGATTTATTTTAGAAGTGTAACTATATTTGTGCTTCAATGTCATTCAAAATCAAAAGTACAGTAAGTTCGGCAAAAGCAAAAAAAGTCAACGTGTCAAAGCGTCCTTGGGCAATCTTATATAAGTTGCTTTGGATAAAGTTGCAGCTAAATGACATGTCATACTTTCTATTTCTTTCTTTTCACCATTATGCTGCTGCTGGCTGTGCTGAGATAATTCAAAGGTGGTTCCCATGCTGCAGCTTTATTAAGGCTCTATATTAGCACACGTACTGTCCATTATAAAACTCCACCTTCTTAGCGGCACAAAGCTATTACATAAGGAGTGGAAAGTCCAAAAATCACTGTTGTTTTTGTGCATCTGGTTTTAAAAATATCACAGACCTTCATGACAGAAACCCAACGAGAAAGCTCTTTTTGCTTCATAACAACATTTAATTAAACGCATTAATAAAGAGTTTTGATTTTCATTAATGAAGTTAGGCTAGATAAAGAAGTCACCTGACACTCGTTAAAATAAAATACTAGTATCTCTCTTTAATCAAGTCAAACATTTTGATGTGTGGCTTCTTATCTGTTCAACAGTCTGAACCACAAATTCTAATTATTGTCTAAAACAAACAAACACAACCAGAAAATAATCACATATCACATGTTTGAATCTTGGCCTTTTTGCTTGAAAAAATGGTTTAAAGGATTAACTGATTAATTGTTGCAGATAAATCTACAACTTGTTTTGACTCTCATTATATTTTAGCATGACTCCCCGTAATCAATGGAACCAATCTACACAAACCACATTTTTGCACGAGGCTGGGGATGTTCCCAAGTTAATTTAGCAAAAATATCAAACTTTGACAATAAATGTATTGTTACTCAGGATATAACTTTTGGTCTGCTCGCTAAAAAACAACAACCAAGAGCTGAAGTTCAAACTCTCTTTAAATTAGATCTTTTTTCTACACCAGCTAAACTTTTTCCTCCGACTCAAACCCTGCATTTCCTCCCATACTCTCATATCTGTACATCTGAGTCCTTCGGTCTGCTCTGCTTTCATAAACTCTCTCTCTCCAACCTGCCACCTGTTAAAATGAAAGTAACCATACTGCAAGCTTAAACGGCAAAAACATCAGTCTGCTTCCTCTTTCTTTGCAGGCCACAGTTTCCTCTGCGGCACTACTTGAGCGAGACTTTTTTTTTTTCAGCCTGTATGCATTCAGAGTTTTCATGCGTGTAGCTTTTCTAAAATGGGTCACTGATCCGCTTGATATAGAAAGGAGTCAAGTAAGAACAGATTTGAGCTGCTTGACTCTGAACTTATAAGAGAATGTAAGCATAACATTGAGTTCGAGCTGATCAGCTCAGTGTACTCTCATGGCTAATCAGCTGGCTGTCCCGACAACATCTTTAGGTTTTATAGAAATTCAAAGGAAAATGTGAAAAGAAAAACAGAAGCTACCACAATGCTCTTTGTCTGCGGATTGGACAGGAAGCCTAACAATTACAAAAAAAACAACACTCATTGTCTGCTCCGATTAGTCAATACCAAAAGTAGTACAACATTTGTAAATTGTGTAATAGTAAAAAATAAAATAGATTTTTAATGGATGTTTTTTTTAATGTATTAACAAATCATAAGATTAATTGATGGATACATTATATGTATTTATACATAGTAACTTGAATTGTTGGTTTGAGGATTCTTGAGTTGGGTTTATTATGAAATATAGGCTATATATAATTAGTTTCTGATGGCTTATAAAACGGTTTCTTCTGCTTAATTCTGCCTTTACAAGGAAGTTGAGTTTGGAGGCAATTCATGATTTCTTTAGGCAGAAAGCATGACTTAAACACATTTCAAGGACTTTCGCAAGGACATTTGCAACACAGTTTAGCAAGAATAAAAATGACCTGCACCACGAAGACTATCTGAAACAAGCTAGCTAGCATTAGCTATTCTGATTCTGATTCTGTTTTCTGAGGTGTTTGAACCTCAAGGCCACCATATCCACATCTGAAATGATGACCCCCGGCTCTTTCAATTACAGATGCTGCTGTGTATGCTTTGACACCACTAACACTGGGGGAATAACAAAGAGCATTGCATAAGATGAGCTATAACCGAAATCTATACATAGAGTAGTCCTGGAGTAAATTGTATAGCCCATGTCAGGAGGCATTGTTGTTGACATGTCATTATATTGGTCTATCCCGCACACATGACATCCGTTGAACGTCTGTAAACTGGGAAAAGGGATCCCTCCACAAGACGTGTTTAAATCTTTTTCAAAAGCCTCAGACTAATTTAACACATAGAAGACTATAGTCATTTGAAACAAGATAAGAACCCTTCCCTGTAAGATGGGGAAATACATTAGTATCTTACCTGTGATTTGTCGCAGTTCTTCACACAAACTTATGTGGGGAAACTGAAGCAGCTGCTTCCATTTCTTGCTTTTTCCTTTTCTGTTCCCGCCGCCTCCTGTAATACAAAGAGCTTTGGTTGACATCTCATGTCAAATGAAACATAAAACTACACAATTCAAAAAGAGCGAAGATAGTTACAAATTAACATAGAAAATGCAGTTTCTGCAAGAGAGTAATAAAACAATGTTGTTAAAAGGGCCCTATTGTGCTCATTTTCAGGTTTCATATTTGAATTATGTACCTCTACTGTGAAATGTTTACATACTGTAATGTTAAAAACCGTCTTTATTTTTTTCATACTGCCTCTTTTCACCCTCTTCCTGAAACCAGAGCCCAGTCTGCTCTGATTGGTTAGCTGGCCAACTCTGTTGTGATTGGTCAACCACTTTGAGATGTCCCGTCCCTTAGCCTATGACGTATGATGTGTTGGAGCGCTAGCCAATAGAAGCATTAGTGTAACATAATAGGGCCTCTTTAAACACTCCCTAAAAAAAAGCTTCTCACTTTATAAACCACTGTATGATAGCATCACTGGGGAAGGCAATCTGTGACAGCGTGAGGACTCATCTCCAATCTGAGGACACTAATTAAGGTCCCCACAGAGTTAATGATTTGCTTCAGGGTAATGACCAGATGTCAGGTCTAGAATTGTCTCTTTAGAAATTAATGTAAGTCAACAAAATGTCCTAACAAGTATGGTATAACATTCAGCCTTAAAAATGTACTTGAGAAACTGCAGCCGAATAAAACACAAAGGGCTAACGTCACTCCAACAATCAGAACAAATAAACAGTGTTAAAAAAAAAGTGTTCTCAAAGTCAAAGTAATCATATTGTATCTCTGTCTTGATGCAAAAAAAAAATTACTATTTGGGGACAAATACAAAGTAAGTTGAAGATTTGACAATAATGGTATTCAATAAAAAGTATTGAGGGATTGAATAAATTCACAAAATGTTGACACGATTGTTCAGCAAATACAAATAAAATTGATAAAATAATATATTCTAACCAATTATAATATCAATATAAATGGTTCCATTACATGTACAGTGAAACTACTCAATTTTAAAAGACACCTGATATTTTTGGATTAGCAACATGGGTTGGAAAATAGTGAAAAATGCTAATCACAATTCCCCAGAATAATAGGTTTCGGACTTGTTATGACAGGCCAACGGTCCAAAGCCCCAACATATTCAGCTTACAATGATTAAAAACTAAGAACACCGCAAATCCTTATATTCGCCAGGCTGAGGCCAGCAAAGGTTTGGCCTTTTTTCATTGTAAAATGACTTAAACAATCATCAATGTGATTTATTTGAATGATTGTTAACTAATATTTCAACTAACCACTTAAACTCTTATTATTCTGACTCTCAAGTATAGATTAAATGTTTGTTTTTTGACTTAAAAAACATATAAAGAATGCACAATAAGCTTTTGTAGGAAACTCAGTTCACTTATGTTATTGACATAGACCTCCAACATATGTTAATTAAAGAGTTATTATTTCTGTTAGCCGACATAAAAAACACTGATTGTGAGATGTGAGTGTTTATTCAGGGGTCTGGTGCTTTGCTTTATGTTGCTTGGAAGGCAAAACTTGGGGCAAAAAAGGGTTATTTTAAAATACTTGCTGCGAGTGTACAGTTCATATTAAAGACAAAGCAGATATATCCAGATTTTTATCAACTCAGCTCCTTTTTTAGGATCAAATGAAATAGTCAAAGTATAAAGTGATAACAGAGGCTTGTTGTGAATACAGCAGCCTGACTGTGCGTTCTGACAACGAGAAAAGTCAATACCTCGCTCCAGGATTTGCTATTCAAATACTGCACGGCGGCTGCTACTAAAAATGAATTGTCATAGATACGATGCAAACAAGATGTTTTGTTTGTTTCGGGGAAACAGAAGATAATATCAGCCGCAGAATTACCAATAAGCTGATTGATAACAGAGATCCCCGAAGTCCGTTGTGTGCATTAGTGGAAATGTAAATCAAGACAAACAGCATGTCAGTGAGACAGGAAGACATTGAAACACTGATTCACCACAAAATGATTAACATACGTAATTAGAGAGAAAGCAGGCAAATTAGTTTTTAATCATAGAGGAAGATATCCCACATTGACATAGGATGAAGGATCTTTTTTTGACAATACACAACGTTTGTTTTGAACTAGAGGAAGGACATTCAATAAAAAACGAAACGGTATCTAAGACACTAAAGTTCAGCCTGACATGAGATAACATCCTCACCGCCAAAAAAATACCATGACACCCCAAAATAAAGAAAAACACATCTGTTCCTTTTTTAAATAAACTATTTTCTACAAGTTTGTCTCCTGAACAACAGTTCAACTGTTTCACCAACTTGCTCCAGCTAGAACATCAATGTGGAACAATTCCCTCTGGAGTTTTCTTTGGAAAGAAAGACACTGTATGTCAATTATAAATATCCAGTGTTACTGAAGCACATGGTGTGTGTCCTGAAAGCCTGACAAATGTGTTGGATGTTGTTTTGTCTGTAAAACATAATTTAATAGTAACTCTATAATTTCCAAGAGCCTGAAGGGATTTTCTTTTGTAATCAATAGACAAAGGATGTTCAGTTTTCTGTCGTGTAAGACTGGTAATAGTATTAACATTTCACAATAGAGAAGCAAGAAGCATTAAATGTTCGGGATCTTTGATTGAAAAATTACTTATAGGACTTTCAAAAAGTTTCCAATACATTTTATGTTAATCAATTAACTAATAGTCTTATAGTAGTTGTATGCACTTCCTTGCTTACAAAACATTTGCAAAGCTATTTCTTAATATATTTCAAATGTGGCATTGTTTGAATACATGCTTTGCTTGCTAGCAGCCTTTCTTACCTACTTTTGTCTCCGACTTGCCACATTTGTTGGCCCATTACCAGCACCGACTATCGATCATCATGGCATAAAAAGAAAAATAGCAACCCTATTGTAAAAAAAGGGCTCCATGGCGATGCTAGTGGTCAAAAACTCCACAGTGCCTTTTAAAGCACCGCTATCAGGTTATGAATCTGATGTTTCGCATATTGAAAATGGAAGTAGTTCATTAAGGTCTTCACATAATGAATACCTGTGAATTCAACCACATATCATCGGACGATTCAAGATGAAATCGATGAATTTAAAAGAGCTGGATTTTCTTAGGAAACATTTTAAACGTTACTTTTGCTTATTTCACTTTGATTGATCTTTTAATGTCAGTATCTCTTGGAGAACATTAAGTGTAAATCCGAATATAGATTAAATAATATTTTAATTTAAGAGGAAACTTTTTATTTTTCAGCTCTGAGTAGTGTCTGCAGGTATACAATTGTTTTTGTGAAGGTCATATTTGATAAGCAATCTGAATTTCTGTAGCTGGAAATTCAGGAAACACTGTTTTGTTAAAGTTAAATGGGCCAATACAACTACAAAACTATAAATAACAGGACAAAACAAGAAACTTTATTGGATATGAACATGTCTCTTCACACAGGAAGTGGCGCAAAAAGTCAAGAAAAAATATGCGAGCACTCTATCCAGGGAAAGACAGATTCCCCAACATGACACATTATAAGTTTTGCCCTACTTAACATTGGGGTTCAACACTGGCGCCACACTGTTTTTTTTCTCATTGAATTTCAAACTTTTGTTTCCTCTCTTCCTGCCATTTACATCCATGCACATAGGAAGTTGCCTAATGTTGGTTTCTTTAAAGGAAAACTCCACCCTGAAACTTTGACACCATCTTAAACACTTTTGTTCCAATTCGATAGGCCCATTTTTCGTTTTGCAGACTTCTTTTTTTCCTTCTTCCACAAATTACTGCAAACTTAGTTGTTGGGTTGTTAAATCCAAGAAGTAAGGGCTACTTTAAAAAAAATACTATTATCATTACAAAATGAATAACTTCAGAGAGAGAATGCCATCAAGAGAAAGGACTTTGTCTTTTAAACAGTATAGATAAGCAAATGGCCGCTGGCTATAAAGATACTTTTAGGCCACTGCAACTTGATTTCAAATGCACACTGGAATGAAATGGCTTTGGAAAATAGTCAGCGGTAATGTGAAGTGAAAGCAAATTGTAGTTAAAAGGAGGAGTTTAGCGATTTAGTATTGAACTTTGATAAAGTTGAACTGCAGTGATTTACAATTAAGTGTTGTGCTAATGCTTTTCTGCCTTTACATCAGTAAGCATTTGATTGCAGGACCTTTACTTGTAAATATGTTACCATTGTAGTATTGCTCACGTAACAATACTACAAGGTGCTAGGCTTATGAAGATAAAGATCTTAATGTTTACAACACAACTCTGCAATTACAACGGTGAAGCCTACAATTTCACTAATGCAACATTCAGTTTTTGGTTTATTTCTATGATGACAACAATGTTTTTTGAGAGGATTTCTTTACAAATTCAAAAATCTCATAAGCCTTACTTGATGAGATACAGTGTTATATGAGTAATTGGACATTTGTAACAACTGTAGAGTGCCCCTTTTATAAGCTTGAATACAAAGTGTACAGTCTTAAAATCTAGTCTTCTAAAAAGAAAAAAACACCTTGTGCTATGAGGCCTTCTCGTGGGTGTTTTGACTGCATACAGTAATACTTAACATTGCCCTGTTATGTTGTTGTACTTTCTCAAAATACTTTATATCCATAACCCTCACCCTAATACCCGCATCAAACACAGTCTGTTAGGGCAATAAATCATGATATATATTAATCTTATCGTTTATATTAAAGAACATCTTGTCAAGGCTCCAGGGAATCCAGAGGTCAAGGCCTGTCTGCTGCTGGGAGGAATGTTGCTTTGCTCATGGGCAAAATGCTGCTTTAACAGAGGCTAAAGCCCAGAGCACTAAGGATAAACTGAATTGAGCAGATGAACCGGTGTTAGCGATCACAGCACTCATCTTTTCGTGTCCCTCTGCAGATGGCATAAGAATTATTTTGGCAATAAGTCACTGCAAACTTTTCTCCAGTTTCAAAAACAATAACAAACTTTTCTGGAACATTTGCGTTTTAGACATATCTGACCACCTAAATGTACTTCATCTAGGAAACCTACAAAACACTAAAGGTGGAAAGTAACTAAGTACATTCACTCAAGTAAGTGCAACTTTGAGGTATCTGTACTTTACTTGAGTGGTTCCATTTAATGCTACTTTATACTTCTACTCCACTACATTTCAAAAGGGAAATAATGTGAGTTCTTCACTCCACTACATTTATTAAACAGCTTTAGCTACTTTGAACAAAATGCACCTCTTAAAATTAAACTAGAGGACCAACTCTTTCAGTCACAAAAGAGCGAAATTATTATTTATTTTTTTACAAAATTCAATCAGAACTTTGTTTGTCTACAGCAGTAAAATGCTATACTTGATGCAACAATATTATCTAGAACTGTCACATACATAAATATAATTATATATACACAAAAAGGCACATTTTCTACACAATGGTTACTTTTACTTTTTAGTATTTTTAAATACTTTTGTACTTTTTCAAGATTTTGAATGGATGACTTGTTATACAGTATTCATACAATAATATATTGGTACTTTTACTCAAGTAAAGCATCTGAATACTTCTTCCACCAAAATCTAGAATGCATAGCCAAGAAAGGCCTATTTAAAATGAGGCTTTACAAACAGAATACCAGAGATAAAAGAAGTACTCAGATCTTGTACTTAAGTAAAAGTAGAAATACCAAAGTGTAGGAATACTGTGTTAAAAGTAAAAGTCCTTCATTCAAAATGTTACTCAAGTAAAATTACAAAAGTACTGTCATGTAAATATACTTAGTGTAGCCTACCAATAGTGAAAGTACTGATTTAGCAGATTGGCCCATTTCACATTATAGGTTTAGATCATAATTATTGATACATTACAGTGTGATCAAAGCTGGTAAAGGTGGAACTAATTGTAAAAACTGTATTTACTGATGAGTAGTTTATTAATTTAATCTAGGTGAAACTAAAGTCTTATTTCAGTTTTGATCATATTGTCAATCATTGATCTATATCTGCAAAGTAACTAAAGGTACAGAATAAATGTAGTGGAGTAAAAGTACACGATTAACCTCTGAATTGTGGTGGAGTAGAAGTACAAAGTAGCAAAACATTGAATGGAAAGTACCTCAACATTGTAAAGTACTTGAGTAATAGTACTTAGTTACTTCCTACCTCTGCAAAACACAGGTTTCAATGCATAGCTAAGAAACGCCTATTCAATGAGGGTTTAAACACAGAATAGCAGAATGTGCACATGAGTACAAACCCTTGTACGTGCATCTGCTCTGCCTCAACATCCTGTTTCGCAAACGACGATGCTGCAACATCAGCAAGGGAAACCCGATGTGCCGCTTTTTACACTTACAACCCCTTCCGGGCCTCAAATACTCCATGTTTCATATACATATAATCACAATCACGCCAAACCTATTCAAGAAAAGCAGGCAATTGAAAGCACCCATTCGTAACAACTGTGTTCATACACCAGGAAATCGAAAATGTTGCACACGTCTCTCCCACCCAGTCTTTAATTCTGACAACCCGTGCATCAGTTTGAATGCATATTACACTATATCATGCGAGCTTGACATCCCTATCTACGAAGACTTTTCCTGTTGATTTACAGGGGAGAGAGGGGCTGTCAAACATCTCCATCCTTACCTTCTCGTGCCTTCAGCAGCACCGTGTTGGCCACGATGTTTTCCAGCTCCATGTTGATGCTGTCAGACGGAGCTCCAGGTCTCCAATCTCAGTGTTAGCCTCCCTAAAAACACCGTCTACCACCTCCTCCCTCCGCCCAGCCAAGGAGGAAGATTTCAAGCCTCCAGTTTCTGCTTTCCGCACAGTCCTGTCCGGTAGCAGTCCGCACCCCTCCTCCTCCTCTTCCTCTTCCTCCGCCTCTTTCTCCTCCTCCTCCCTGTCACCGCCCCGGAGCTGCTGTCAAACAGGAGGAAGAAACACAGACGTCTCACTCTGTTGGAAATGGGTTGTTTCAGAAGGAGGTCTCACTCTGCTGATTATTCCCGCGTCGTTTTTAAGCTGTCTCGCTAAAGAGGATTCATTTAATAGAAAAAAACGTACAAATAGGCAGTGTTGGAAAGTAACGAAGAACATTTACTCAACCACTATACTTAATAAATGCAGATGTTAACAGACAAAACGTTTAAAATATGATGTTTTGATAGAAAAGAAACAATCCAACATAACTAAAACCATGAATGGATAAATTTGCTATTTGCTCAAAAATATTTCACAGTTCCAGCATTTTAAATGTGAAGATTTGCTGCTTTGCTTCAACAAATGTTTAAATATTTGTTCAGTTGTTCTGCAATTACTACTTTTACTCCTAGTACTTTAAGAACAATTGCCTACTCGTACTTCAGTTATTTTACTTGAAATGTGGTGTTTTTACTGTGTGGTATGAGTAGGCCTACTTTTAGTCAAGTAAAGAATCCGAATATTGTTTCCACCACAGAACATAGGCTAATAACTTAAATCAATATATTCTATAGCCTACATTGTGGATGGTAGCATTATTGAGGGATACATTTTTCAACCAAGATCAAATTACTAAAATATTACAACATGTGCATATGTAGCTTGCATAGGGTTCTAATCTTGATAAAGTGTTAATATGGCGTAAATATCCTTTACAGTGACAATATTATAATCAAGACTATAAATGAAATCCAATTCCTCCTGACAGGCGTTGGTGCCTCTGAATGTATCAAGAATGAATGCACAGTTACAATTTCAAAAAATCAATATAATATATTTCTGACTCCAGATCTGCCGCTCTTTGTGGCTCATCTCCCTCTGCAGAAAGTGGATTTCCCTGCACAGATCAATGGCAACGTCACGGTGCATTATGCATTAAGAAAGAGTCTCACTGTTTGGTGGGGCAGAATGACGACAGAAGCTCCGGCCAGAGGGTTGATTGAGTTATGAAGTTATTGATCAGCCTCACAGTGATGGCTTCTCTTTGGCTTTCAAAGCGTACTTTCTGGACTAAACTTCCTCTTTACAGCATTATTTAAACAGTTCAAAGACTAGAAGGCCTTTAACTCAAGTCAGGAGAGAACTACATAAGTAATGGCCACAAGTAACTTTGAACTTGAAATTCATGAATAAACAAAACAAGTGATCAATAAGGGTCACAAAAACACAGGTAACTGTCCACAGTGCTTTCTTTGTCTTTTTTTTTTTTCAATTGATGGAATAACACCACTAATCTGTTGGGTGTTTGTATGCAAAGCCACTGTTTAGGATGTAAACTTTGTCCGTAGCAATTTAGATTACAGACACAGAAAGAAAAATACAAAATTTGATGTATAACTTTGAGAAATAGGGATGAAATATTGGAAGATTACAGAAATACAAAACACCTATAAAACATGAATGAGAACAGTTTGTTGCCAGTGAAAAAGTGCATCCAACAAAATATAATAATCTGCAATAAAGTAAAAAATACAGACAATTCAAACATTCATGTTTCACACAAAGCAAGGACACAGAAGAACTCAAATAAGCTTAAGAGAACCATAAAAGAAATATGAAGAATTAATGTGGTAAACACAAAGGATTTGTACTTATATCTTTCATATGTAGCAGTTTGAAAGATGTGGGCCCTGGTGCTCAGTTGACTCTGCTGCTGTGTATCTGCGGTAAACATGATCTCCTTTTTTGTGAGATTTTTTTCACACACAGACTGACATCTAGAGGATAAACGCTTAAACTGCAGGTTTGCAACCCTCCTCAGATGTCACCGTCAGGAAACAAAAGAATAAGATTGATCATACTTTTGAAGTTTTTTGTATATTTTTAAAAAAATAAATAGAATGTATATTTTCCCAAATGATTTTTACTTTGTATTTGTTTGTCTGTGTTTTAATTTGCGAATTAATTAAGGTTAACAAAGTCAATACTTCTCGGATATAATACATAATCTCATCCACATGATGAGAAGTTATATATACAATTGTATAGTAAATATTATTCTTTTAATTACCTTTTTGACTTTGTGTGTATTGTGTCAGGCATACACACAGTGCCTGAGAGAAACTTTAAATACATTACATTCATTCAACAACAAAAAAATCGAAACTTTATCATTTTAGTTTACCAAATGTATATTCATTATCAATTTAATAGAGTAAAATGATAATTAAAAAAAATAAAGAAAAACTTGAAACTGAAAGGCCGAAGGTGAAAATCGGGCGCGGTTTCTGGTCACATGATCGGAACAAAACAAATACGCACTTCCGGTTTCTACACGCTGCTTCTCTAGCTCACAACCAACACATCTCTGCTGTTCTGTGAAAACAAGAGAAAAATCTGCAAACATGCCGAAAGCCAAGAAGTCAGGGAAAAGAAAGAAGTTCAATTACAACTTAGACCGGAAGAAGATGAAGAAACAAGCTATCAAGAAATGCAAACCGAGGATAGAAAAGTAAGAGACGTTAGCATGTTAGCTAATGTTAGCTCACAGTAGCCCATGTGAGGATTTTATTTGAGAGATTTACACTCTGCTTGTTTGTAGTTCAGCTTTTATACAGTGGTGGACAAAGTGCTCAAATAAATGTGTATTTTGCTGTTAAAATCACTGATATGTACTGTCAGAAAATGTAGTTTACTCATGCAGAATAGCTCCTTTAAGTGTTATATTATTATAGAATAATATATTACTCTGTTTTTATATACATCTTATACTGCTTGAGTGATAGTAGTAAAGTATTGCATCATATAATATAAGCATGTAAATAAAATACATGCATTTGAAAATACGATAATGATATACGTAACAATATTTCCCTTTGAAATAAAGTTAATTGGAAAATCAAATAAATTGTGAACATAGGGACTGGGTTTCAAATAGTCTATGGTTTCAAACTGAGTTTATCTTTTTTATATATAAAATAAAAAGAGATGAAAAAAAATATGAGATGAATCACTGAAAATTACATTTACTGGTGGACTAAAATGTAGAACTACATATATATTTAACAGAACCACCAAAGTGTACATTTCCATCTCAATTGACCTTCAGATTTGTTCTGGCCTGCACCTTTAGAAGCACTGTTATGTTGTTTGCTTGTCATAGTGTTTCTAAATTGTCCTTTCACTCAGTTCACAGATTCGAAATGCATGGGACGACAAGAAGTCAACATCCAGGAACTTGCAGGACATGGGTCTGGCTTTCGATCCAAACCGCTCGCTGCCAATACAGAAGAAGAGCGTAAGTAACTGATTCGCTTGTATGGTCCTGTAGTTGGATTTTCCCAGGGTCAAATTCAGAGCACCCATTGTTTTTCGAATCGTCAAGGAACATGTCTTTGTCTGACAAAATGTGTCGTATCATATCCTGTATAATCAGACTAGGGCTGTGCAACATTACCTGAAATCAAATCCCTATTGATTGACACATTCACCTTTGTAACAATTAATGAAATGATCCCCTGTACGCAACATGTTCCATCTTCACAGTAAACAACTTAATAATAAGTTACACTGAACATAAAAAGGTTAAACATCTTAATTGGTATATGTGTAATTTAACTGTTTATTTCAATGGGACTTCTGTCCATAGAAAGTCATATTATTACCACTTTTCGAAGCTTCTGCTAATTATTTCCCATTGTATCAATCTTTCGGTTGCTTTGATTACAATATTTTACAATTATACTACAATATTATATTAACAAAAACTCAGTTCTACATAGTCTAATGATCAGGAAAATTACTGTGCCATTTTAAACACTATTACATTTATATGTTCTATATCATGTATACACAACAAACATTACACTTTCTTTGTTACCATTTCTTTCTAATCTGCACGGTTAACCATACCCCTAAAAACAGCGATAAGAAACAATGCTACACCCGCTTTACACCACTATCAATTTGAAGGTGTGTCTGGCTGCCAGTATGAAGGATCAAAACATGCAAACAAACGATGTGACCTAAATTAGGTGTCCTAGTATTATTATTTTTCTTTGTCATAGTTTAATGTCTCATATCTGAAAACAACGTCAGTTACACCGATTTCACAGCAACTATGAACTGGTGTGTCCGTGTACAATCATGTCAAAAATGACTATTAGGTATTTCATTTTTTTAATACAGCTGATGACCTGTAGATGACTTTGATCTGCATCTGCAAAAGGTGCATTTTAAATCATCAAAGGAGTATTTTAGTGTGCCGAATGTGAGCAGATAATAGCCGATCTTTCTCTGTTGCCGGTTGATCAGCAGCTGAATGATTGTGTTGCTCAAGAGTCCCTCAGCAGCTGCTGGAGTTGATAAAAAAAGGCTCTAATTATTGAAGTATGTTCATGTACTGTAGTTTTCATTTATGCCAGAAGGGAGCAACAGAGTGTTGGTTATAATGATTAAACACATGTAACCAGAATAAATCTCCTTAAAAAAACACTATCAGTCATTACATTTATAATGTTTAACAAACATGAATAAAACCTGTTTTTGACTGTGTGAAATAGTACGCAGTTTGTTTTTCTAGTGTGGATGTTCCTCTGTGTAGTTGCTAGTTAAAGGATTCACTGCAGTCTAATGCAGCGATTACACCTACGCTGAAATGGAAAACAAAGTAGAGAATATTGCCTGTTCCTCAGAGTGAGTCAAGCTGAGCCATTCAGTGGAAATGCGTCATGTGGTACACATATTAACAATGTTTTTGTTCTCTGATCTTCACTGACGTTCTCCTCCTGTGACAGTTTCTCGGTATGGTATTGTTGAAATGGCATCACTGATGAAAATAAAACATAAATCATTCCTAAATCATTTGTTTTTGTTCACACGTGTAGCTCACCCGTGAAGACAGAATAACTAAGGCTCCTGTCGAGACCGTGACCAAGCCCTACGTTGTCAACCGTAAGTAGTTTATTTTTAAGACCTCGTCAATAAAATGAAAGTGGTAATTTTGCATTTGATCCATTTTTAAGTCTCCATGTTTTGCTAATAGGCCTTTGTTTTTGCATTAGAGATATATCCTTTAATTTGGCTTTGTCAGTCTGATAAATGTGAAGATTTATATTATATTAAACTCAATATATTTTGGTTTTGGAGAAGAAAAGACATTTAAATACATTTCCGGGACATTTTATAGAAATCTCAATTGATCAATAATACAAATATTAAAGGTTATTGTGCTCATTTTGAGGTTCATATTTGTATTTTGTTCCTCTACTGTGACATTTTACAAGCTTTACATTTCAAAAAGCTCTTTATTTTTCTCATACAGCATGTGCTGCAGCACCTCTTTTCACCCTCTGTCTGAAACCAGAGCCCAGTCTGCTCTGGTTGGTTAGCTGGCTGGCTCTGTTGATATGTCCCGCCCCTTAGCACGTACAATGTGTTGAAGCGCGAGCCAAAAGAAGCACGAGTGTTACATGCTGATACATTTAAGCCTCTTCAGACCCTTTACATGCACTAAAACATGTATAACACAGTACAGGAAAGTGTAAAACCACCAAAAGCATCATAGGGTCTCTTCAATAATAATCAGTTGCAGCCTAGTGCCAACCAGTCTGTGCTGCATTAGTTTGAACTCTACCAGCATTAAAACATTTGGATGGTGCAACACAGCAGTTGTCATGTTTCTAAAGAGCTCCATGTGATCTCTCACTGCTGTGAACACAGTGAATCTGTCAGAAAGTCGACACCTTCTGTTATTCAATGAGATTCTTTTCTCTCATGCCTTGTCTTTTTATATGAAGGCTGTTTCACACCACTTCCAAGGATCTTTCCATTTGGACACTTGATGCTATTTCAGCCTAATTAGACCAGTTTGAATGAAAGCAGTACACGTACAGAATGTTGTTGTTATGCACAGTTGCATAGAAGCACCGAAGAATTAGCCTCCAGCAGCAGCTGCTCTAGTTTTCAGTGCTGAATAACTTTTATTCCTCCAGAAATACGAGTGCTGCTTTTTATTCTTTGTTGAATAATTCCTTCTTCTTCTTTTTTTTAAATGACTGAGATGCAAAATGTAGTTTTTGTCCACCAGCCAAACGGCTAATGAATATGCACATTGTACCAGCCAGTTGATGGATAACCATTGTTTTGTGACTATAGAAATCTATGAGCCGAACAGAGAAATAACACAAATAAATCCAATGGAATCAGTAAAAGCAAACAAGATGGAATATTCAAATGAATGTTTGTACATTTTGGGATCCTCTAAGATGTTTTTTTACGTCCTGATTTCTGCAGAGCTGGAGGAGGAGGCCAACCGTCTGCAGAAAGACTCCAAGACGTTATCCTCAGACCTGATCGAGTATGCACAGCACATGATCCGAGAACACAAGGACAACCTCAAGGTAAGAGCTGCAACAGGAAGCACATTAACAGAACGGGGAGATGAAAGAGAAACTACGCCCATTTTCAAATTAGATTCCTGTTATTGCATTGGTCTCAGACAGTCCAAAAACATAAATAAACATCGAATAACGTTCTCCTAAATCCAAAGCATAGAGTGTTGGGTTTAACAATGGGACCAAAAAATATTGTTGATTTGTTAAGAACATAGCTGGTTGTTTATTTTTGTGGGGGCTTTTCATGAAGGGTTGTCAGTGACGCTTCCTGCAGTTGTAGACACCATGTACCTCTGAACTGTAGTGGAGTAGAAGAACAAAGTATCAAAACATTTAAATACTTAAACAAAGTACAAGTATCTCAAAATTGTGCCCAAGTATAGTACTTACACCATGTGGCTATAAAGATGGAAAGACTAAGCCTTGCACAGAAGCATGAAAATACATTTTCAAAATGCTCAACAGTGCTGCCAAAATTATAAACTGACTGCTACACAATTTAAAATAAATGCTTTTATATATTTCTATTAGATGTGACTCTTTGGCGTTTCTGTTATTATTAACACTGCTGCTTTAGTTGTTCTGCTAATATCCTCTGTTATTCCTCATTTTAAAGCCGATATTCTGTGGGGTGGGGGAGCCGGGGGCTCGGATCCTTGTCACCTTTTTCATACCTGATGAGTTTGCATCCCTGTACTTGAGTGAAAGCATTGTCATCAAGATAAACATAGTTTTATATAATTGAACTTGCTATTCGCACTTTTCACACAAGGCATCAAATATTCGATTCTCAATGTCTTAACTTTGGCTGCATGACCTAGAACTGGAAAACAGTTTTCCTGATGTTGTGTTCAAGGACACTTTGACATATGAGGGCAAGTTGCCAAGGTTTAAGATTCTTTATTTTCTTGATATGTGTTTCTTTGTCGTCTTAGCTCAGAATAGCGAAGGAGTGTTTATCAAAAAAGTTCCTCATTCAAATGGATTTTCAATGGTTGCTTTAAAAGGGACTTAGTCTTCGCCGGGAGGAATGCCAAGCCACAATATGTCAATAACAAAGAATACTGTGTGTGCGTGTAGTTTATTCTGCAATAAAATATCCTTTCATAGAAAATATTTCATCCTTGACTTTAAACTCTGAAAGATGAGTCATTCACCTGCATATGACACGTTTCATTAAATGACCGCCCTCCTAAAAATGTATTTTCATGTGAATCGTGATCAACAAAACATCACGCTCAAGTCAACATCTGAGCTGAGCCTCATCAAACTGAACAGAGTAACCCTTTTTAGATTTAGCAACATTACATCTTCTCCTTGCACCAACCTCAGGACCAACATTGAATATTTTGCCCCATTTAAATTTGCACCAAAAAAGTCACTTAAAACTGTTCTGTATCCGTCTTAGTTTGCACTAGCGGTCCAAAATACAGAAATATGTTTCTCCACATACATATATTTAACAATCATCACTCATATATATGTGCATTCAACTGATCAGTGTTTTACCTTAGGCGCTTTCACACCGTAAAGCAGTACTTTTCCCAGGAATAGTTCGGATAGTTCCTGGGATTTTGCGTTCACACCAAAAATATCTGGAACTAGAACCCCTTAGTCCCTGCTAGGGAGCAGGGACTTTCCTGGGGAGAAAAAGGTTCCCATTTCTGATTGGCTGGACCAATTGTAAACCATGCCCCCACCAACGGAGAGAGACTAACTTATGGCAACACAAAAAAAAACGTGGGAGCGGAGGAGGTGTCTGCGCTTCTGACGATTTACTCGGAAGGCTTCTACTGAAGCCAGTCCCCAACTCGACTTCGGGTGGCAGTATACGCCGTGAAGTTGTTTGCGGCCTGCCAGTAAACCCAAAGCAGAAGAAGTGACGTCAGCGGCTTCATTTGCCTAATCCTCCCTCAGGGAATTATTCCGGTGTGAACACGATCTGCTCTTCAATCAATCAATCAGTTTATTTATATAGTCCGATATCACAAATGTTACATTTGTCTCAGTGGACTTCACAGTTGGTACAGAATATCAGTATGACAATACGACACCCTCTGTCCTTAGACCCTCACACCGTACAATGAAATACTGATTACTGTCGTAAACTTGAAGTGAATATATTTTGGAATACTTATTGGAATTATTGGTGNGTGTTGTCCAAACTTTTTTCACTTAAGGCCACAAATATACGAAGGGCTTGGCCACTCACTAGAGGTTTATTGCCTCATATAATACAATTTTTCGGGCTCCGGATATTTGGTAATGATCAGCAGCGTACATTCGATCTGCGCGGGGGGGGTGCTAATCAGCAGCGAACCGCTTCAACACGTGTATTTCGGTTTATTCACGGCATTCATTTTGTTATTCTACAGTATTGTTGTTTNGTACTAGGGCTGTCCCGAATACAATTTTTCGGGCTCCGGATATTTGGTAATGATCAGCAGCGTACATTCGATCTGCGCGGGGGGGGTGCTAATCAGCAGGCTGCTGATTAGCACCCCCCCCGCGCAGATCGAATGTACGCTGCTGATCATTACCAAATATCCGGAGCCCGAAAAATTGTATTCGGGACAGCCCTAGTACATGCACTCCCTTAGGATAGGTTGAGGGAAAAGGGTAGTAGGTAAGAAGTAAGAAACAGAGGTGGAGAGGCACAACGTTTCTACGTACATGCACTCCCTTAGGATAGGGTGAGGGAAAAGAGTAGGAATTAAGATGTATGCGCCACATCTATACCATGAGCGCATTGCTCCTAAAACGTTTTTTGGCACTGACACCAATCAACAGTTGTGCGTCGACTCGGCAGGGATCAAGGAACGTAAATGCCTCTCCCTGCTTCCACCGTCTACACACACAACCAAATGATGAACTGATGAACTCTTTAGTTCATCAGAACTAAAGAGTTCTGATTAACTAAGTACTGGGAACTAAGAAAAGTACTTGGTGTGAAAGCGCCTCTTGTTGTTATTCAAACAGTTACTGGCATGTCTAATCCCATTTTAGATTTTATTACACTTGAGTAATTATCTGTACTGTCCTGTATTTCACTTTTTCTCTGTTGCTGCTATAACTCCTGAATTTCCCTACGGGATCAATGAAGGTCTATCTTATTTGATCTTGTCTTATATTTGACCAAACGTCCTGTTCTGTGTTATCTCTGCAGGAGATGGCCAGGGATGAGAAGAACTACTACCAGGACACACCCAAACAGATCAAGAGGAAACTAATCGAGTACCAGCGCTGCCACAAAGAGCATTACAACACCTTCATGAGCTCACTAGCACCCCAGCCCATAGACCAATAGAGGAAATAAAACCCTTTCTCTGGACTTTAAACCATTCTCCCTATAGAATCTCATTCTGGACAGACTGTTGAGTGCAAACAGGACAGAGGACCAGAAGATGCACTCAGAGCATCACCAATAATCAGAAAAACCATCAGTGACAGGAAGTGGAGACGAGTATTACTTCTATGTCTTGTTAAGGATCTTTCTGTTACTTTCCTCCTCGATCAAAATGTCCATTTTGTTTCCATTGATAAAGTCTTGATTTTACCTCTGTTTTAACTGTACAACATGATTGAATGAGATGTATTTTTATTGTCATTTAAAAACCCTAAATCTCAATTTGTGATGTTTTCTTTCCCTGGGATGAACAGCATCCTCTCATGCACACTGGACAGTTTTCTGATGTTGTCGGCCATTCCCATGTTTTCCTGATCCTCACAGGATGTGTTTAGATCTTCAGTGAGAGCATCAGATGTTGATGTCTGAGAGGAAGCTCTCAGCAGCAACATGTTTTTAACTGCACTGGGTATTTTGGTTTAAAAACATGTTTCTCTATCTTTTTTTAAAACAATGAAAGTCATTTATAACCATTTGACTCTGTGTCAATGCATTTGTAACAGTTTTAGTTAGAGCGATTTAGTTCAGGTCATAGAGTTAACATTCTTGTTTACTTTGATTGTGCCATTATATTTCAGGGAATTATTGTGCGTACACTTAATTGCTTTTCATGCTTTAAACAAAAATAGAGCCAGCAGGACAAAAAATACATTATAAATGCATTATATTATGTCTTGCATCTGAAATGCATGTACACTTAAGACTTTTTTTTTAACACATCAATGTAAGCCTTTGTGGAAAAATGTGAGGTTGAATATCTATAATATTTAATAATAAACCTTTATTATATAGCACTTTTCATACAACACATGCAACTCAAAGTGCTTTACAAAATGACACATCACAAGTTAAAAATAAAAAACAAGAAATCCCCTTCCGATTATTTGTTAAGAACTTTACAGGTACATTCAGCAAATTATAACATTTTATCAGGTTAATAGACACAAGGAGGTCAAATGTATGATAATAAAAATAAAATAATTAATGGTTTATCTCTGACAGATAAGACACAAGACAACTGAATCGATGCAACAATATGAAATATAAAAAGTCTAAATGATTGTAGTTTCAAGTATTCTTAGCCCCAGAACTATTAAGTAGTCCAGCTCCCAGAGTTTATAGTGCCGCTACTTTTAACCAAAATACAAATAAACCTGCATTCATTAAAAATGTGTTTTTAAACTATTCTAATGTTGTAGCAGTTTCCCTCGCAGCTTTGAGCATTTTTGTGGAAGTAAACTGGCATCTATTGCTGTGTGGAGATATCTCCCTTCAACACGTGTGCAATAGCAATCGTGATGCATGCAAAGTCATCAGCATACTAACTGCGCCTGTCCCTGAGATCCAGTTGAACCTTCCTCTTGTTATAATATACTTTAAAAAAAGAGCTGCAGGTCTGAAAATAATTGAACCTATCAATATGTAGTCCAGTTTTTATAAACCTGAAAATCCCTCAAACCATCCTGGATGGAAAGCAAAACCTTCAAGCCTTTTTTCCATTCAATAGTTCAGGATTGTCTCCTTCAAATCCCTGTTTTCTTCCAAACAACGGCATGTTTCACGATCCTTAGGCAATGACATACTGACAAATCTTCTAGTTCATGGTAAAACTATTCTGCTAAATGTGGGTTCAACAGGGACAGGAATTCGCCCCCCTGATGTTGCAATGACAAACAGACTCCATTCCTCGAAACACATTTGACATTTAGAGCGACACGGATGCCTAATTATCTGGAAAATGTTGTTGCATTATTGCTAATGAGTGAACACTGAAGTTAACAANAAAACCTTCAAGCCTTTTTTCCATTCAATAGTTCAGGATTGTCTCCTTCAAATCCCTGTTTTCTTCCAAACAACGGCATGTTTCATGATCCTTAGGCAATGACATACTGACAAATCTTCTAGTTCACAGGAATTCGCCCCCCTGATGTTGCAATGACAAACAGACTCCATTCCTCGAAACACATTTGACATTTAGAGCGACACGGATGCCTAATTATCTGGAAAATGTTGTTGCATTATTGCTAATGAGTGAACACTGAAGTTAACAACAGTGGCTAATTGCTATTTCACGTTTTGATGTCAATAATAAACATGGTGGAAGCAGCTAGAGTAAAGTAGAGAGAAAAGCCTGCATTTTTTTCTCTGTGATTATCATTTTGTAGGTTGTTTAAAAAGTACATTCTGTCCTGTGTCAGTGAAAACCCCTTTTAAAACCTTCAATCAAATTGACCATCCAATATTTTATTTTGTAATAGGCTTCACAAAGTCACATGGTAAAACAAAGATACATCCTGTGATTTCCTGCTTGTGAACCTTGAGCTCTTAAATCTTCACAGTTTTGCGTTATTACAGATGATCTGCTGCACAAGTTAACAGCAAAACAATAGTTTGACCTACGGTACTTGCTGTGTTGACCTTGTCCTCTCTCGTCAATCATTCCCAGTGTTGCTGCACAGCACAACGTGTTCGACCATCAGGTAAACACCCTCTGCATGTTGTTGAGGAGTCAGGGGAGGAAACTCGATCAGTTGGCGCCGACTGGAGGTATGTGAGGAATGAATGCTCAATGTTTCACATCAGCTGTGGCTGTTTTCTTGGATACTGGTTTGAGACTAGTCAAATTAAAGTGGATTTCACTAAAGCTTAATTCACTACAATAGATGTTTCTAAATATCTGAATTCCAGAGTCTGGCTTATTGTCAAATATTTCAACTAGTCATATATCTAATTTAAAAAAGCTTATGTTGAAAGAGGAGCCAAGTGAGACAAATTAACAATTTAGCTCTTTCCTTTTGTTCCACCTTTTGGGCAAACTTCCCATATTTTCTTTCTTGCGCTCCGATCAAACATTCGAACAAAGTACATCCATTAATGGTGGCCAAGTGGTGTGTCGCTTTAAGCCCAATTAATTGTGGGACAGTCATATCTCTTGCTTTGGTAAAAGATGGTCTAGCATGCCAAAGCAAAGAAGAATTAAATCATTATTTCTTTTGAATTTAGCAAATTGAAACAGTTATGTCTTCTAATATGATACCACTGGGTCATTTCACTCAGTTTTAACCCTTGTGTGGTGTTCGGGTCAAATGGACCTAATTTAAATTTCCACATAAAAAACACAGGACCAGCTGGTGTAAAATGTGAACATAATACAAGGGTTACACTTTCCTCAGCTGGAAAGACTAATTGACCGCAGCCCTGGTGTGGTAGGGTACATTATCATGATTCATTTTAAATGTAATTTAAACTCTATTTAAGTCTTGAAAATTATTTAGGTTTACTCATATGCAAGAGACAGAGAAATACACAAAATTAATGTGGACAATTCTGAGACAAAACAAGTGTCCTATTTTATTTGCACTAAAATGTTCCAATAAACCTGAAGAGCATAAGACAGTTAAGGGAGGGGTTTGGTTGGTTCCTGTGGTTCAGTCCCGCAGGGATGATATGTAAGCTGGAGAATTATGTATGAATGAAAAGATAAGCATCTGTGCCAGAGAGAACTACTGTTAAACAAAGGACCTACAACTATGACGTCGCCAGCAGATTTCCATCAGTGCAATGCTTCAAAAATCTGCAGTCTTGAAACATACAGTACATTAAGACAGCAGGCACCCTTTTTATCTAAGATTAATAACTTAAGTCATTAATTATTGTGGCGTGAACACTTTGTATCTCCAAAATGACTGATAATATTTTCTCCACCAGCAGAGGAGCATGCTGCCCTTTAAATGTCAACTGCTGACTGTAATACAAATGTTCACTTTAATGGGTTTCACCTCACATTATTAATCATTTAGTAACTTGTATTTCTAATTCATATCATTTTCTAATTTATTATTTTTTCTAATTCCATGAGATGACGTTGATCTGCAGGCTGTGTATTTTCTTGCACGCTGAGTCTTGCGGTCATAGTAACCTGCAGAGTGGACACTGTACCGGTGCCAGAGTGACGTCTCAGCAATAAAACAGCTTCCTGTCCGACCAGCTGTGGAACTTTGGGGACAAAAACAAGGTCAGTCAGCCTATAGAGGCCTTCGGATGTATATCTGTTTGTGTTTGCATTTAGGTGCTCAGTTAGCAGAGACACAGGGTAGGTTCTGTACGTGTTATCTGGTTGTTTTTCACTTGTAGATCCATCCATGTTGTATTTTAGCGGAGAGAGACGAGAACTTGTTTGAGAACACAGTGTGTACATACTGTGTAGGTAGGTTGAGTACATAGCTATGTTTTGGCAGGTCTTCTTTTATTCCTTTTACCTGTTTATACTTGTTCTTCCATAATATTCCATGCAAAACCGATCTTGATCTCAATGACACTTTGAGTTAACAAGATAAAATAGTGGTACCCATTTACTCTTCTATATTCGAGATTTTCTTTTTAGATGTACTACTTATATTCAAGCAAAACACATTAAAAGAACGCACCACCATATTTGTATTTAACCCTTTAGATCGAACATTTTATTTGTTTATACATTTAAAATAAAGCAGCAGAAAACCAAAGAAATATAAGCAAGTTATGGATGAAAAATATCTAAAAGTATATGTAAGGAATCCCACCTAAATGAGCATTAGAGGTCAATTCCAATGTTAACCATAAAACAAACTAAATATGATATATATAATAATACAATAATGAAAAAGTAAACGTCATCGAGCCAAATTACAAAATAACTAAAATAATATAGACAGGTTAAGGGTTTGTCTGTTAAACATTGTTGGACACATAATGGACAGTTAAAATAAATTGATTCAGTTGTACCACATTACAAATTGTATCCTATACATTCTTTGCCTACAATATCATTTTTTAACAACTCACTAACAAGAGGGAACAACAAAACCTAAAGACATTCATGAATCCATATATCAGTTCCATTTATTTAGCACATCAAGTATGACACCGATCTACTAAACTCTCAGTTACTGTGAAACAACATTTCTGCAGAATTAAAGTACATTAAGAATAAAACATCACATTCATTAAAAAAATTGTGCGTCATATGCAAACATTGCTGCACACGTACAGCATTCAAAATCTGAATCTAGCTAACTCCAGTTCATCTGTACAAGTATCAATAAAGATAAATACGCTTATTATTCATTTATACATTCAAGGTCCTGGATCCTGTCTAAGTGTTTTCTAAAGAGTGATCTAACAGTAGAGAATGGGAGTGCACGTTTTTATAAAGACAGAGAGCATAGCCAGGTTAAGCCTATGGGTTAAGCGTGTATTAGCTTTAGCCTGGTAAGCTAACATCACTGTTGAAAGCCTGTACAAAAACAAAGCTTTTGCTACTAATTGTGAACGTTTCCTTCTTAAAAACATTGACCTTGTTTGCTTCCCTATAGTGTCTATATATAAATACATATACATACATGTTTGAAGTCTCTTCTGATACATTTTGAAGTTTAAAGTTATTTATTTGGCTTATACTGTATGTCAGATGGTGTAGTTGGCAGTGTTGTGTTGTTGTTGGGACTGAAAACATAACCAAATACAATGAAATGCATTCCTATGAAGATAGTGGTAAAAAAGTGTAGATACTTACAGAAGTATAAGAATTTTGACACAAAAAATAACCCAATGCTTTTCAAAATGTCAGGGCGTCCCATTAAATCTTCACAACATTCAGAGAAATTTAAGTCTGCAAGTAACTTCTAGTCGATTAATTCACTGAGCTGTTGGAGTCTGAGTCCCCGGGGGCTCCAACTTGGCAACCCACAATATTACCTGTTTTGCTCTGCTGACTTCTGTGCTGCATACACTTTTCATAAAACAGCAAACCAGAACAAACTGCTTCTACGGACTTGAATTGTTTCAGCTTATATACAGTACAATCTACATGCTTAAGTAAACCTGTCGCCAGGTGACATTTAGACCGATGCGAAGCCTGACTCATCATCAGGTGGTGAAGTTCTGAGTCACTCCATTAACACACCTTCATCCTTCTGTCCTCATCCTCTTCGCTACGCACCTCCTCCTCTCCGATGACTAAGATTAATCAAGTTGGAAGAAAATTGTAGGATGAGATGAGCTGAAGAATGTTCTAAAACCAACAAAGTTTCTTTGAAAAGGGGCAGGAGGATAACAAGGACGAACTGCAAGGCATTGTGCTCTATCTTCAGTAATTTCATTGCCTCAGTTCCTTTACTATCTCCCCCTCCTCTGCCTCAAATAAACCAGAAAGGTTGCTCTAAGCCATCTCTTTGTTTCCATCCCCTCCTCCCTCATGCTCGCTCATGTGGGTGAGATCAGACGAGCTGGAGCAGCAGGTCCTGGAAGGTGTCCAGGCCCCGGCAGGAGTTCCTCAGGGCCCCGTCAGAGCCCAGCTGTGCAGCCAGGAGGAACAGCCTCCTCTCCTCCGTGATGGAGCTCAGAGACAACGCTTCATGCAGCTCCGACACGCTCACAGCGTTGGGCTTATCCTGAGAAGAGAGGGGGGAAACAGTTTAACTCAGTTAGAAAATAAGTCTTATTTTGTCAAGGAAATAAAACAATCTACAATAAATACGTAAAAATATCTATTGAAACTTACACTGTCGAACTGTAAATTCCAGTTACATCATTTCCAACTAGAGCTTGAGCGGATTAAATGTTTTGAGCTTTGTTGCATGTTACTTCGTTAGTTTGGTGGGAGCAACACAAATAACTAAACATGTGTTAATGAACAAAAGTATTATATTTAGCAATGTTTTGGCCCCATTTGGTGAGAAGGAAATGAGTAGAATGTCCATTACCTGACCGCATACCGCTAACAGCTAACTTCATGCTAAATAGACAGCTCTTTCTCGCTAAGCAGTTTGTTCTCATTAAGTCCAAGTCCATTCAAGTCTAACATATGTAAATGTAGTTGTGAGGACAATACATAAGGCATATTACACTTGCAACAAACAATGGTTTTGCATTTGCCACAACATATTAAGTCAGTCCAAATAACAGCTTCATAGAGCCTTTTTTTTGGTGCTAGCGAGGTTAGCTACGTACTTATTTGTTTACTACACTAAAAACAAAAATATATTTTGTAGCCATATTGTTGGTTATAGAAATCCTTCATAATTAATCCTGAATCATTTCCATCTGGAAGTCAAGCTTAGTGATTCTACCTTTTTATTTTATCCCAGAGAAACCATCAGCTAAAATAATAGGCAGATAAGGAAATAATACTACATTTGTGCCCTATTCTTCCAATGTTAGCTCTCTCAGTCATGAATAAAATGTGTGTACGTGAAGAAAATTAATTTAAGGGCCTCCATCCTACACTCTTCGACAGAAGTCAGGGTCAATGGATGCTCGCCTCGTTTCTTTTCACCTCCACATCTTTTACAGCACACTGGTTCTGCCGGAAACATCCTTTGTACTGAACTGAGCGAGTGCCAAGGCTGGGAACAAAGCAGTGTGTTGGGTGAGAGCCAGTATCACTGTCCTCCTACTGAAGACTGTTTCTTTTTCTTCTACCTGCAGCATATGCACGGCAGGAAAAAGGCAGTAATTATTTGTTATTGAAAGCTTAATCGTTCAGAAAATGGTCAAAGTTAGTGAAACCATGACAGCTTTTTGCTTTTGGGAATAAAAAAAAACACAGATTTATTACTATAGGATTAAACACTTCTTGATTGTTAAACTGATTATTATGTTCCCATTACACATGATTTTGGCAAAAACATACAGCCTCCATTTGTAGCTGGTGCAAAAACAACTGAACTGGCTGGCCATGTTCTAACAAACTGAGGCTTTGTTTTAGCCACATTTCCTCCCAATATAATGTATAATGGTTTGGTTAAAACTGACTGCTTTCGATGTAAAAATCACAAAAATAAACAGAAAACAGCTAAATGTGTGTGCATATTTGGATTAAGTTCAAGCTAACTGGACCCTGAACCAACAATTTGGCATTTAGCTTAACTGAAATGACTTCAGTTAAGATGAAGGCAATTTATTTGACATTCCTTTTTTGCAAACATTAAAGTATAGCAGCAGTGCTCTGAAATTAGATGAGACAAAAATATTCCTGCTTCTTGAAGGCTCATGTATAATTCCACAAGTGCTGTGCAGGGTGAAGAAATTGAGCCGAGGAGGAAATGTAGAAATGGTTATTTCACGATTGTGATGCATCATCTGCCGGGTAAATGAAGAGGGAACAACGTGTACCTGCTCGCTCCAACACATTCATCTCTATTATGTGCACTTTTAGTTTTTTCCGTACTTATATTTCTGTATCATTTTGACCAGTTTTTCCAAGGGTTTTCTACCAGAGTACCACATTTTTTCATCTATAGAAAGAAAGTACCTATTAAATGAAAACAATACATTACTGAATCTTTGCTATACACTTTAGCTGTAAACCTTTAATGCATGCTGTACCACTCAAGATTTTTGGATAAAAATGGGCATGGCAGCATTAGTTTCTGTTAATTACACTGTGAAAATCAATTGGCAACATCTCAAACCTTGATTGTGTTATGTTATTCATCGGGGCCTAGATAACTATAAACATCACTTCTGCATTCTCAATAACACTGCAATTTAATGCAGTGCAGTCCTTTTTTACTTTTTACCTATTTTTTACCTGATTATTGTTTGATTTCCGCAGAGAAAGAAATGAATGGAAAACACAACAACAATAAGGTTAGCTTTATTGTAAGCTTTCATATAAATGACTTTACCTGTTTGTTTCCCAGGACAACCACGGGCAGGTGGGGCTCCACCCTCAGCAGGCGGTGCAGCTCAGCTTTAGCCAGCGGGAGGCGGGTCCTGTCGGAGGAGTCCACCACGTACACCAGAACGTGAGTCTTCCTCAGATACTCCAACCAGTACCGCCGCAGGTCCTCCCCGCCACCGACTAGCAGAGAAAACATGAATTTAGCGTTACATATAGACTTTGAGATCTGAATTCCAACACTTTAACATTTTCTTTAGAAACTGAAATTAACTTTTTTTGACAATCCACAACACGGCTAGTTTCACTGTGATCACATTCCTTTCCTGTATGCAACATAAAGAGGCAAAGATCAACAGCAGCATTACTTTAGTCATGTTTTAAACATGGACTGTTACTATATGAGAGGGTTTTGGAGGTCCTTGTAGCTTGATTAAAACAAATAATTATCCGTCCTGCTCTGTTGACTAATGGTGGACTGGGTCACTTGAATGACTGATTGCTGATTGATTTATTATGATTGGGTAAAATGGCATCATAGAAGGTCCAATCTCACCCAGGAAAAAAGCATGTCACTGCATTCTGCAGCCCTTCACACCCAGCACACAGTCACTGGACTCAGAAGAGTCTGTTACCAGCTTCAATGGTGGGGAAAGTTTAATATTAAGTGAAGGCATTAACTCCCACATTCCTGCTGTGCAGCAGAACTGACCTGAGGCTATAATGACCAGAGGCGCTCTGCGGCCAAACGAATCGCTGCTCACACAGAGCGACTTCAAGTCGTCACCACCTCCGAGTTCAGCACAGCAAGAATTCATTAGTGCTGGACTTAATGGAGAATGTTGCTAGGAAACTGGTAATGATGTACCTGTAGGCCATGTGATGCGGCAGCAGTAAATGCATTCGGAGGGTGTAGCTGACGCCTAGCGGTATGAGCAGTTTGTGTTTTAGTCAGAGAAAGCTCAGCAGGACGTTGCCCTGCCTACAGGCCGCCCTATTAAACACACACACGCACGCACGCACGCACGCACGCACGCACGCACGCACGCACGCACGCACGCACGCACGCACGCACGCACGCACGCACGCACACACACACACACACACACACACTCTCTCTCTCACACACAGACACACACAGACACACACACACACACTC